TCTAAACAAGAAAAAACACGTTGCTCCAATGTTAACACAATGGGCGCGTCTTTTTCTCCAGCCGCTAGCAGCCGCTAGCAGCTGCTAGCGAAAAAGACGCGTTGGCTAGGCACGACCACGTCATCGAATGACGTCACTCTTGGGCAAGCAGCCGGCAGCGGAACATAGCGAACTATGGGAGCGCTGAGCAGCTCAGCCCTAACATGACGTCATGGGATGCTGGAGGCCTCAGCAGAGCTAGCTGCGCCGCTGAGAAAAAAGACACGCCCCATATTTGACACAATGACGTAGGAAAATCCTGGTCTGACTCCTTTGCACGTGCGTAGTCAGAATACCTCCACTGCCATCTATCGTACACAGGTTGAACTTCATTCGTGCAGAATTGGAATGGTTTATTTTTTATTGTATGAGTGCAGCTTAGAAATATTTTGGTTTTCTGATATTATGATCATTCTGTAGAAGGAGAAATCAAAAGTGGTGAAGGCCGAACTCTTTCCGCCGAAGTAACCTCACGGTGCATATTGAGTCTCCCATGGTTGGAAGTTACTCGATCCTTAGATGAGCTGAGAATAATAATTGGCGGCTCGTGATTTGCAGCAGTAGTGGTTCGTCAGTGGAGACAGAGGAGGTTGGCCTTCCCTGTTTTTATTAAAGAACTATTGCATAAAACGAGCTGCCACTGTACCTGAGATGGAGAGAATTAAAGGGATTCCAGAGAGCCAATGGATGCAGAGGTCTTGCGCCTCTTGTTCCTGATAGAGTCTCATATTGCATCGTAATGAGCGTGCAGGCGGCGAATCATTTTGCAACTCGGCTGCGTCATTCACTGCCATGGGTTAGCGAGTCTTTCTTGGGAAGAGCAAAATCCCAAAGCCAAAAACATCCCAGATAAGAGTTTTTTTTCTCGAAATGATCAATTATCAGACCAATCGGATCAAGTTTCATATTCCCCCCCCCCATCCAAAAAAAAAATTGGTATTTTCATAAATGGACGGTTGGTATGAGGATGTGGGACCTTACGCTACAGGCATTTTTCAAGGAATGGAGGTTTCCGCTCTGTTAACATAGCTCTATCTGATGTTTTTCAATTTCATTTCAAGCTCTGAATACTCTTCGTATGTCTGGAAATTTGAAGCAACATGCCAGTACTTGCTCTATCAAGTGTTTTGACCCAGACAAAATCCCACGCTGCCCCTTTCATGCGCATAATTGTGACAGCACTCTCCATATTCACAACCTCCTCTATGCCGGGGGTTACATACAGCGTATGCACATTTTCAAATCACTTCCGCTCGGGTGCATTCAAGAGAGGCATCGTTCGAATTTCGAACGCCCAGGAATAGGATGAAGAATAGGGGATGATTTCCATCACGAAAGACTTGCAGTTTATTTATGCGTCAATCTTCTGCGAGTTCCATCTTGGTCCTCAGGTTTCTGAACATTTTGGTTTTATATATAATTAAACATATATTTATTGGAACTGAATGTCCGGTTTATAACAGTGTAGACATACGAAGGAAAGCAGACGAACCGCAAGTAATAAATTCAGAGACCTTTCAAAATGATGCGGTCGACATTTAAAAGATTATGTTCTGGGAAGGGAAAGGGTAGAGGCTAAAGAGGTTGAAGTATTCAAATGAGACTGACCGTTAGAATTTAGAACACCCAAGGGTATAGAACGGAAGATCGAGGATGCCTTTCGGTATCGGAGACCTCGGGTACTGCAGCATTGAGCTCTACACGGAACGCAGATGGGCCCGATTGGACCAACCAGACCTGTCTGTGATGCTCCGTCGGCGATCGAGTTTCGAGTGGGGATGGGCCATAATTCTAATAGGGCCAGATCAGGTTGGGTTCCGAAATATCTACCCCTGCAGGCCTCCAGTGGATAGACGGGCAGACACACACTTCCATGTGAAAAAAAAAGTAAAAAATGACCTGCTCTTTTTCCTTCAAAGTCTTCGCAAAAATCCGAAGACATTGAAGGAAAAGGAGTTGGTCACCATCGTGGAAGATAAGAAACCCCCAATGCTGACCCGTGCAATTCAACTTCCAGATCGAAAATGTCAAGAAGTAAAATGTAAGAACTTCGGACTTCATTGTGAAACAAGCTTGCAAAACAGCAACAACCTCTAGAGGTTGTCACAGAAATAAAATGCACGAAAATTTTACAATAGTTTGGACAGAGTAATTTCTGCATGAACATGATTATATTTACGCACGCTGTTGTAGCTACCATATTAAAATTAGCGTACTCGAAAATCACCATGATAGCATTTAAGTCAACAGAGGCAATCACGGTAATCACAATCATGGGGGTAGAAAGCATTACAGCGGTCAGTTTTTGACAGGAGTCTGATTCGCTTTCTACACCTCAGTCCAATTAAGAATTTCTTGATATTTGCCAATCAACATGTTTTGACGAAAAAAATGTTTTCAGATTTTCATTACTTGATCTTGACCTCATTGCTTGAAAACCTCACAGCTCATAGCTCAGACTCTCACTCCAAGTTTAGAGATTAGCGAAGGTCCCTTTTCTCTCAGCTCGCTCAGTAGCCCCCCCCCCCCCCCCCGGGTCGTCGACCAGGCCCAGTTGATGGCAGGAAGGAGGCTTGATGAGGAAATTTTTCCTGATCCGCCCAAATCTTTGGTGTGCGAATAACCCCCACCCCCTTGTTGGTGCATCTATGATTGAAAAATTATGCAAGGCACGCCAGCATATCATTTGAACTGTCAATTTATTAGTTTCTGCTCTCGGTCATTCTGGGTGAATCTGAATGCTGCTCGCCAGAACAACCAGAAAAAAGGATCCCAGAGTGCCTGCTTCCAGACCCCCGGAAGTACTGTACTGAATGAAACGTTGTAGAGTAACTTTGGCGTTGTAGAGTAACAGAGTGACTTTGGCAAAGGGAAGGTGTATATATGTGTGAGCATATACAGGGTGGGCCAAAAAGTAAGGTTACGCTTAACAACTTGTGTAGAAGAGTCTGTATGTCCGTGCCCAATCACATGGGAAAATGTTTGGAATGTGATGATAACGTATTTGAAAATTTACTTTGAACCTTGTTATTTCAATATATTGCTATATCAATCAATTGTTGCTTCAATATATATTGATATTGTTGTTTGTTATTGTTGTTTTAACATGGAACTCCAAGTGAAACCTTTCTTTTGGCCCACCCTGTATATTCGTATTTGTGTGTACGAGAGTGGGAGGAAATTTTTTATTTACATTTCAAATCGTACCAGAAAGCACTGTTGTGTTTAATAACTTGAAATTCGAAAACTTCCAGAGAGGTGCATAGCATGTTGGATGTTTGTTTCTCCTTTCCTCAATCACGAACCAACCGCATTCGCACGGTCTCCTGGCATCCACCTATCTTCTGTTCCTTCTTCTGTTACTCTTCATATCCCTTGTATGTGACACTTCTCACAAGGTTCAACTCGATTGATTTTTTGAAATTGTGTTTTATTTTTCCCAGATGCAAATGCCTCAGGTGACAACATAAGACTACGCTGAGGATCATGTATCTTCCCAAAAATCGATTATTCTGTGTTCAGGCACTAGGACCAGTGCGCTGAAACCTAAAAAGTGGTTTGGAAAAGAGACGATCGTGTCTTGCTTCTGAAATATGAATTGTGCCGTTTTCTCTTGAGTAAAAATTTCCAGAAATTGTTGAACGTTGTGTTACATGAATGTGCAATGGACTCTCAGAAATAGCATGGCTTTGACAGGGTGTGAACAAGACGCCGACAACGATTTCACTTTTTTCAGATGCTTAGAGCTAAGCAGATGACATATCCGTCCGCCGACATGGGCCGTAGCCCTGTCCAAATATGATCATTTAAGGAGAAAGAAGGGCCCAGGATAACACAGTGCAGACACGGATATGCATGGTGGGAAATGGAATCTTATAATGAAAAAAATCAAATCAATGGCTTTATTTTACATGACACTTGCGATATTCAGGACTCCCCTAAGAATAGAGCCATGGCCCTCATGACCTTGCTTCTCCTTCTTCGGAGTCCTTCGTGTTTTTAAGCGTATGCCGCCTTGGTATTAGACATCCTATATTATGGCTAGTCTTCAACCTCAAATCGTAAAGTGTTCTTTCTTCCCCTGATTTCTTCCTCTTCTGCATCTCCTCCTTCGTCTTCTGCTTCTTTCCCTTGTCTTCTCTTCATGATGGGGATCATTCAATGGGATTGGAATGGAGGAGCGGAAGAAAGTATCACACAGGTAAGGAACAAACACGAAGGCTAGGACAACAGGAAGACTAGAGGAAAAAGACAGTGAGAAAAGAGAAGGAAAAGACCAGAGGACATGGGAAGTGCCTAGAGGGCAAGAATTATTTAATTATTCCAATAAACTGATTCCACTTGCTTCCCTCCTGTCCTGGTATCCACTCAACAGGTACATGAGAAATACTGCTGGCTAACAACGGGCGTCTATTATACCACGTTGTTTTGTCCACGCCAAGGATGAAGGAAAAATCCTAGAAACAAATGATGATGATGGTGATGGTGGTGATGGTGGTGATGGTGGTGGTGGTGGTGGTGGTGGTGGTGGTTGTGATGATGATTATGATGATTCCTTTTGTTTTTTCTTGTTTTCTCTGTGTCTTCTGACTGGGTACTGAAGAAAGTGGCAGTTCTCTCCCTGCGGGTAGGTCTGGCCCTATCAGGCCAACTCTTTCATCTGCAATCAAGACAACAAACACATGATCGGGAGTTCTTCTTCCATGGACGCGGTGAAATCTAAAACTTTAAGAACGGTTTATTAGAGTTCACTCATCGGGCATTGCGATGTAGAATGAAAAATGGTATGAATAGCATGGATGAATAATATACTAATTGCCAAAAAAAAAGTAATATCAATAACGGACTAATGGATCAGAAAATCCTCTGATGAGGGTGAAGTGGATGCCTTGGATTTTGATTTAATTTGGAGAGTAGACTCCCTTTGAGGAGTCATTGAAGATCTGGGAGTACTTATGGTATTACGACTTGGGATCAAAATTACGACCTTGAGATTTCTGCCCCCGAGTCTCTTAGAGGAACAAAAAAAAACTATATATATGTTTCATTAACACAATTGGACAATGATCTGACACGTGAATTATGATAACTCCAAGTACTCTTCTGGAAGGGATATTGCCCAGTAACCCTCATGTAACAAGGTCACAAGGATATTCCAAGTTATGCTAAAATTGCAAAATGCACAAAAATTTTATCACTATGGCTTGGCACAACAAAAAAGAAAATTGGACATATTGTGACCCAACGGGTAGCAGAGCTAAATTTTAAAATAATACAGTCTATATTTCTGCTGCAAAAAGTTTCACCCCGTTTCAAAAAGAGAGAAAGTTTATTGTTTTAATCGAGTTCCGTGCCTTCTGAATTTTTTTGCAGAAAGTTTTCAGAACGAAATTGATGTCAATCGGTGGGAATACCTTTTTAAATTCCTTTTTCTCGTAGTTTCCTTTGCTCAATTTCGCGCATCATCTGTTTTTAAAGAATCATCTCATTGAATCTCATCTGCAACATGGCTGCTGAAAATCAGCTCTCATTGAAGCGTCGGCAAATAATTGTTTCCCCAGCTGATCTCAAGCTGTGCAGAATAATTTGCATCAGCTTTACCAACATTATAAGGCTCGTATATTGTATCTACTTCATCTTTTAGCATACAGCGAATGTAGATAAAAAAGATAAATACACCTAGCTGTTCAATAATGGAGCCTCTAAAAAGAATTATTGCCTACATGGCTAGCCAACAATATTGAGGGAAGTAACACTCGACTGTTGTCTAATTTGAGACAGAGAGACTGAGAGACTGACCTTTAAACGAACCATTCACCCTTCCGGCTATTGATGGATGAGGCATCACTGTAAGAAAAAAAACACGGAATAGACGATTAATTGGTTTCTGTATTGATTTATTTCTTTCCACACCGCCCGAGACACAAAGCCTACATTGTGCTCCATTTATGTTATGCATTTGTAAATATTTAAATAACATACGATCAGAAATTATAACTCCGAAGGAAGCTTCACCCATTCATGTTTTTTTTGAGAGTATAAAGAGGTAAAGAAGAGCGGAAAGCAGACTAGGTCCCTCCTCACTTTTCGTTCAGGGTGATTCCACACTACGATCAACCTTCAGTTAAACGGAAATACAACACGAGTGGTGCATAAGCATCAATAAAAAGATAGGCATGATCGAAACACGATCTAAGAACCATTTATCAAATTGGTGATTCCTTTCAATAAAATTCATAATGATGGGATGAGCAGCTACTGAGTGGACCACTCCTTCGAGTCATAATGAACGGAGTTGAGTTCTTTTTGTTGGAAATTCGTTTTTTAAAAAAGAAACTAATTTTATTCGTCTAATTAACATTCGAAAAATGTATCATGACGAGAAAGGCCTGAAAAACGACTGATATTCTAGAATCTCAACCCAAAACGCAGCCCTCTTCCTGGCTCGACCTATCAAATTGTTGATTGGAGCAGCCAATTCTCTTCCAGACCTCGTAGCTAAGATGTTCATAGTTTGCAGAGAGCGAGGCTGCAGGAAGCAACGGAATCGGGGTTGCTTGCCGAACTCACAAAATCGCACTCTCCTTTTAACCCCCAACCTCAATATGCAGTGTTTCAAAACTGTAGGAGGATCCACCTCAGCATGTCTGCTCTAAGGAAAGTCGAAATATACGTTTTCAAAATGTAAATACTGGGGGGGGGGGGGGACAGAACATAGGGCAGAAAAAAATTAGGAAAATCTCTATACCTTCCCTTCATTGTAGAATCATGGATTTTTACATACTTCAAATAGTATATGGCATAATTATTTAGGAACGTGCACCTATTGATCCAAGAGCAATATGGTGCTGTCCATCAGAGAAGAAAACTGAAGCTTTTGGCGTTTCTAAAAAAAAATAATAGGCCGATGGTGCAAAACAAACTTTACTAAGCAACTCGGCACTCATAAGCGGTATGCCTGGTGGTCATTCTTGCCAATGCACTCCCTCATCATATTCAAGATTGCCTGGTTCACCTTATCCATCATTTGCGGAAATCTGGGGCCTTTGTGAACGCTTGGAAAACACCCTACCATCCCTTAAAATTGGATGATTTGCACTACTCAGCCAAACCACAAGTAATACGCTCGTATTCAGCCAACCTTAACAATATCTGGCTGACTTTTTCTTGGAAGATGATAGTTTCAGAAGAAATCAATCATTAAAACATTTGAACAAGCATTCAAACAAAATCGAAATTTACCCTCATTAAATCCCCAGGACCTTGATCCGAGAATCAACGCGAACCTTCGAGCTCCACCAAGTTTAACATGACCCCCTTGCCCTGAAGTAATGCTGCATGTATCAATGCTCTAAATAATGTCGCCATACACTAATAACGACACTATCAAATTACAAAAAAAACTGGGAAGACGGACAAGTTTTTAATTATTTGAGACACCTCCTCCTCTTAAACAAGGGGACATCTTAGGCTTTTATACAATAACAGTAACTGTCACCTAACGATAAATTGCTCGAGTAAATTGCTCTGAGAGGACGGGTATATTAGAAAGGACGTCTCATTTTTTCGGGCAGAGATTCTCTTTGGATCTGTGGCTTTCTCAAATATAGGATTTATTTTCTGATAAAAGGGCCTGTTTTGCGAAGTGCAGCTTGTTCCCTAGATCATATTCATCCAGAAAAATAAAACACATTTGTTCCTCTGATTTTGTGAAGGAAGACGGAAAACGGATTGCAGGTCTTAGCCATCTGCAGCCTTCTTCTGTGTCTGACTTACTTGATTGATTCTGAAGATATTCCGAGGCTGCCTGAATATTACTTTTTGCTACTTTTAACTTCTACTCCCACTTTTGTTTTTTTATTATTTATTTTTGCTATAACTTTTGCAATTTTGTCTATTTCTCTGCTATTTTAAATGACATTCATTTCCATAGTTCTTCACTTGTGCTATTTAATTACTTTTCTCATGTTATTGATTAACAACTATACCGTATAGATATACAGTATTTTTATTTAAAAAAATTGTAAAGTCATATGTGATTGAAGAAAAGAAGAAATGATGACGATAGTACCTAGGTGAATTGGGACTCAGCATAGGCTCATTGGGATGAGGATGATGGTTTTTCCTTGTAGAAGAATGTACCCCAATTTCCCTCCCGCAGGGAGTTCCAGGTTTCCCGGACCAGCTTTTCCTCCATTTCTCACTTTCCCCCCTTCTATTGCCCCTGACACTGCAACAGAAAGCGGGAAAGCCTTGAAGAGAGGACCTCTTGCAAGAAAATCCGATTACGACAGAACTTGATACACAATTATTATACCTGTATATGCAAAATGCATACGACTATTGTAAAGAGAACAAAAGTCATTGATGGAAGGACATGCAAGGGACATATTTATCATGTGTTATAAAGCAGGATTTTCAGGCTTCATGCGGAGGGAATGTCACATCTAATCAGTTGAGTCAAAGACCAAATGTTCAATCTGATTGGAATATATATTCCGTCTAAACCATTGCCGCCTCCTCCCGTGTCATCTCGCGTGTCAACGACTTCCATTCAATTCTAATGCATATTTTCTTAGTGCTACTGAATCCATAACAAAAATTCAAATGTATTTTCTTCTCTGTGTACATGAAATAGATGACCTCTCCAGGATCCGCATATGAATTCGCAAGTGACAATGCCGAAATGCGATGGGTGCGATTTACGAGGTGGGGACTGACTTTGATAGGAATCATGTGTTGAGATAGTCGTAGGGCTCTGTCGTCTTCTTCGGTAGACACAGATACCTGTGATGATAATGCAGAGGAGGAGAGCTCCTGCACTGCCTCCATACCCCAATAGTTCCATCCTTTCTAGCCCGAAATTGTCTAAAAGTCCCCCTGGATCCGCTGTGAACCAAAGAGATAGACACAACATGCATCATCACTCTCCTCTGTGCAAGAAAACGTTATCCATGAAATAATCCTCTCAACCAGCAACTGATAAGTCAGATAACAGACTTATGATTCAAGGTTCAAGATTATGCAAGCACATTATGACCCTACATCCATTGCTGGTGAGGAAACAACTGAAATTTATTAGTGTGACAGCAACAGAAACCGTACACACATCAAGAAATGCGAGCAAAAAGTGGAGATGAACTCACTCGGGCAATGAGCAAGGAAAGAGTCCTCGTCGCTGGAGTCTGGGCAATGGGAGATCCCATCGCAAGTGAGACCTTCGTCGATGCAAAACGAACTGGATGCACACTTGAAATCCGTACATGCATGTTCTGAAAGAGACACAAATCAGGTTTTGTCCCTCATCCATGCAAATTCAGGTCAATAACCAAGCCTAGACCTGCCATGGAGCATGTACAGAAACTCGACGTAAATAGAGAGATAATTAAGTTCGAAAGAACCCCTACTTATTCTAGAACCATAAGAGCACAGGTGAAAAAAATCCTTGATCTGAATTATACCTGTTCCTATAGTTACCAATCATGTGCTTATGTGACTGGAGTGGCCTATTTGAATCTCAGTGAGTGTCTACTCACGTCAAGTTTCCGTACGTACTTGTCCCAACACTTTCTAATGGTTGCCGACCCAAGCAACGACTTGCCTTGTTATACCGTGAGAGTAAACGCTGAAAAGCGACTATAAAATTATACCCAAGGATCAATGATGATACTCCACTGTGAATCCAAGGCCCTCCTTGTCTCAAATGAGGTCAAATGAATTCATACTGGAAGTACGAAATCATTCCCTGATTCCTCCTCCGCACAAAACAGAATAGAATCGTATGGGATCGTGCCCCCAAATGAAGGAAACTATAGCCAACATTGAAAAGCTGCTCATGGAAAATCAGGAGATAGAAGAGCAGACATATCAGAATCTTAACATCACGTGGGATTCACCAAGTCCAGGGTGGTTTAAACCTTATCCCCCCCCCCCCCCCTCCCAGACAGCGTTGATGAGAGTAGTGGATAACCTGGTTGCACCATGTGAAAGCTCTATTTTACATTTAAACCCCTCATCACTGCTGATTGATCGTTCATTTATGTATCTTAATATTCTGTGTTGCTCCCGCCATCGTGGGAAGCATCTCTGAGTTGCAATTCTTACTGGGAAGTGTCACTTTTTCTCTCGTATCTCGGGGATGAAGTTTGCACAAGATGACTAATTCAGTGACAGAACACTCAAGAAAGGAATCAAGAAGCTTTCCTCTCCAGTCACGCTGTTCTGTTCTAAAAAGGCTTCCTCTGCTCTCAGGAAATCAGAAATATCATATCCACTGATACTATCAGCTGGAAATAAAAAAAAACTTTACATTGCAGCTCCATGATTTCCATCAGCATTTTCTGAAAAAAATTGCGCCAGCCACATCAATGACACGGGTGGTTTATAAAACCTAATTCAGACATTCAAGAGTCGAGGTTCAAGTTTTGGATTCGGACGTCAAGAGATTCTTCAGTGAATTTTGACATCCCGAGTCGATGTCGAACACCTATTTTACCCTCCCATGCATCCGTTTCCCACGTCATTTTCGCCATTTCTATCGTTCTTCAGGCGGTTTCACAGCTTTAAATCCTTCTGCCGTGTGTTGACAGTTTTCAGAACTGACTTCTGCTTTCACATTCAGACTCTATTCATTAGAGGGTTGGATCCGTCCCGAAAACGTAGTGTAAAAAAAAAAATTTTTGTATGTCCTTCAGAGAGGCATGAGGATAAGATCAGCCTATCCTTCCGAAGGTAATACAGTGTGGGCCAAAAGATAAGTTGCCCTTAAAATGTCGAACATGTCAACTAAAGAACTACATTACAATGCAAATATATGTTAAAATATGTGTTCAGGAAGTTTGTGATAACTCAAGAGAACACTCACAGTCACAGTACACTCAACAAGCTCAGAGTAATTGTTCAAAGTTCTGGACGTCTTCGTCAATTCCTTCGCCACTTGTTATTCGGGGCAACTAATTTTTGGCCCATCCTGTATTTTTAGTAAGTGTATACCACTCTACCGTTTAGTTACTTACTGATATATTTCTCCCCTATCTTATTTCGTCCTTGAAGTCTAACGAAATGGACAGTCGACATCTTCATCTAACGTGTTCGACGCACTCACTACCCGAGAAGCAAAAAAAGTCATTCCCTAACTTCAGGCCTACTTTAGGTTTACGCAACTTGAACCGATTCTCTCTCGTTTTGCTGCCAACATCGAATTGTAAAAACCTACCACGCTTCACAATCCCTTTTAAATGATCTTAAATGCCTAGATGGGATTCCCCCTTGTTAACCTTCTCTCTATCGACGGCATTCCCAATGCGTCACGTCCAATCGTAGTTTGTATGTAAGCCTGATTTACCTCACCTAACCCATTCCGGTGCCTTAAAACCCCTTTTCTATGAAGGCCTCCAAAATTGAGCACAATACCTTATACATCTTACTAGTGAAGTGAAATGCTGGAGAATAACGTGCAAGCTGTTATTGAGAATGGAATGCCGTGTGAGGCATGAAATCCAACTCTTGGGTATTCCCCTAATGACAAATGGAATCGTATCATTCCGACTAACTCCTGCTGAGAAATGCTGGGGGAGGGATGGATCTGAAACCAGCCTGATACCAACGGATTCGAGCATTGCCCGAGGCAATCCAATTTTTTGTTTAGTGTCAGAAGTTGGACTGTGTCGCTCTAGTAACCTAAGAGACCTTTTGTAAACTGATTCGGGTGCAGTTGGATGAAACCTCTATCCCTATCTGGTGGCTCTGATATTGTGAAAGAAGTGAACTAGTATTGCTTCGGTCGTCGTAAATATCAAATGGCAAAAAAAATCGTTTTGTTTGGCCCATTATGAAACCGACTGTATAAATGCCATAAGTGCTAGTTACGCAAGGCTCATAATTCTTTTTATATCAGGAAAAACACTGAAATTTGCTTCCTGAAGGCTTAAAGCAGAGGTCAAATTCGAAATGGCATCGGAAGGGAGGGCGGGGGGGGGGGGCAACTTGGATTGCTGGAGGAAAGGATTGAGATCCTCCCCCTTCCCCCTCATTTCTTCCTGAGAAGCTTTACTCATCCCTATCCTCCACCCTCACACAGTTAAGAAGGCCGGATTAAGGAGACTCCCATGCCCCCGTTCAAATACTGATAATCTGAGTAGAAAGTTTGGGTATCTTGGGATCTTGTCAGTTTAAAATCCTTGAATTTCAAACTCCATATCTGCAATATGAATGCTCCTCCGAGTCTAAGTTATCATGACAACATCCAAACCAATTCTCAATGCCCTCCCTTGCAGACATCCATTTTACCATGCGTGCTACACACATACCTGTAGAAGCACTTGAGCCGATCCTTACTCATTCCTTTTTTTTCGAAAACAGTACGTAGAGGCATCGAGACACTCGCAGTAACTGTCCCGTCCTTGTAAATATTTTCCACCTGGTCTGTAAGATAATAATAATAATAATAATAGGCCTAATAAAGAAAAACTTCATCTCCCTCCGAATTGCTGTTCCGACTGTTCTACTTACTTCTTGGAAAATTTGGCATGATCCCTGACCAGAGGAATTCCACATTGCCTCAATACCTCCTAATTGTCTGGAAACATTGCCCTTAACTTTTTGCGTAAGAGACTTCAGAGACTTCCCAGAGGTCCTCACTCTAACGTTTACACTTGGCACGGACAATCATCCCTCCTTCATGTAATGGTGACCGCTTAACTGGTCAAGTGACGACTTGCCGAATTCAATTCGCCGACTACAACTGCAACTCTTCGATTCCTGAGTTGGTGAGTTGTCAATCGGCAAATCGTCATTAGACGAAATGAACATTCGACGAATTGTAGTCGGCGAGTTGTTATCCGGCGAGATGATAGGGAACCCAACTAATAGGCTCGGAATCGCGCACACGTAATCCTCTCCTGTCTTTGTGAAACGATACTTCTTAATCACCTTCTTGAGCTCGACAATGATGACATTCAAATTTGTTCTGCAGTCCTTGACTGCCGGAGCTCGGTGACAATTCCCTCGGCGCCAGATTTGGGGACATCAACGATGATGAACAACCTCCACGGCCGATACTGAGAGCACTATCTCTCCTGCCTTGTTCCTAATACTGTATATCCAATGGTCATTCCAGAGAAAGGAGCGAAGGAGACGGAATGCTGCTCCCGTAAATTCTTCCCCATGGTTGTCATGAAACATTTGATGTTGAAATCTACAAGAAGCATGGATAGCGTTCCTTCTATCCCTCCACTTCACTACCTGAGTTTGCCTTCTCAACCTTTCTTCTATGCTGGCTTCACCCTTATTCATCATCTACGGTCGTAGCATTACCTCTCAAACCTTTGAAATCTGTTCTAGATCCTGACACCTGACTTCTAGAGTTGCCTAACCTTTGCTACACTGCCTGCACAAAACGAACTAAGTCTAGTTGTCGAGAGTGTTACCTGTCTGGGTACTTTGACACTGGGACGATGTCCCATCCTCAGACTCAGATTGATTTGAGATTCAATCCCGTATCGCCGCCTTTACCTTATATAGCAGGAAGCGAAGTCCTCCCTTTCGATTCCATCCACCGCCTTCCCGATTCCTGTGATCCATTAATTAACTGATCGGTCTAACTCACACAATTGACAAGCCCCACCTACCGAACCGTAACACCAAACGTATCGTTTGGCCAGTCTTTATTTTACCAATAATTACTCGCATTATTACTGCTGATCCTGCTACTTCTAAGATCCACTCACAGTCTCCATGACAGTGACTTGATTTGGAAGAATGGAGTACCCCTAGCCCTTCAGTTGCATACAGTATAATGAAAAACTCTCCAACAACGAAAGTTTGTAAGCACCTCTTAACAGCCTTGTTAAAATAATGGTGACCTTAACCAGCCTTTGAGATAACTAACCAAATGGTGCTCTATTACTAAAGAATAGTCATGCCGAACACACGACTAGCAAATCAGTTCTTCTTAAGGCTATGGTTAGACGCTATGATTTTACTCAACTGTGACTATTCACTAATGAGTGCACTGTTGTGAGCAGGTAAACAAACTGCGACGAGAAAACTTTTTTGAGTTTTGAAGAAAACATATATTCAGGAAAAAGGAATACATTTCCAGGCTCTTCACGGCATCAGGATGGTATTTACACATATCCAATTGAAATAGTCAAAGCCACTTTGCTGTCGTACGGGACTTTGTTGAAAATTTTTGAGAATGCTATTGATTTAAAATCATGAGAGACGTGTTTAAATGTGACAGTGACTACAAATTAGGAAAGGAAGAAAATGGATTAACAGTTTCAGTTTCGGTTACTGCAAAGACTTCTGGTCAATTAATCCTCAGACGCTTGGTTTAATGAATTAATTCCACGTCAGCTAGGTCTGTAATATGATGTTCGTCACAAGTCGTCTTCCAAGAATAAGTCAGTCCATCAAAAAATCCATTAGTTTAGATGGGATGATTCACATTCAGCGGGGCAGTAAGCGCCTTGCCCTGTTGACTGACCAAGCCAGCCCATCAGCGGGCATCTCTCCTATAAGCGTTCATAAGAAAGTCAATGAAGCCTCGAGACCTTATGAGTTGGCGTGCAACTCACATGTGAGTCTTTGACTTGCTCATAGACCTTGATAGTGTGCACTCACAATTCATATATGAGCAGCCGCATATGAACTAAATCATAGCGTCTTATCGCGGCTTCAGCTTTGAGCAGACCAAAACAAGAACTTATGCGGCAGTCCCTCCTTCATAGCCCCGGATCGCTATGGAATTCTCTTTCAAATGGCATCTTCTCCCCTTTGACTCTTCAAAGCTTCAAAAGGAGCCTTCTCTTTCTTCACACTCAGGCAGTCTTCAATGTCATCTAAGTGCTAACACCTTTATCTAGGATTCTAAAGAATACCTTTTCCGTGAATGAAGGATACGGTTATTCTCTTTCATGTACTTCGGAATGGGACATGTTTGCTGCAGACATGTTCATGTATGCGTCCAGATTACCACTTATGAAAATGATCTGCTGAAAATGATAAATGAAAATGATAATATTCCTTTTTTCTTTAGGGTGTAGCAATACTTGTCTGGATATATTCAATACTTTCCAGTAAAGCTCTGTGAACTAGACAGGAGAACACTTTCAAGGCAAAACCTGAATCCATTAGAGTCTCATTCGTCGGAATAGTTCCAGTTATTTGCGTAAGCTTGCGTTTGCAAGTCTTTCTGTGAGTTTTGAACAAATTGGTTGGTATTTGAGATTTCTAAAAGCAATATCCCCAAGGGACTCGGGTCCATTGGCACCCCTTTTGTCGAAATCTGCCGTTTAGTTTTCTCTCTAGGGCGGTCAGTGAATTTGGGACCATATGTTTTAGGTACCTTCAATTGCTATGAGTGGGTATTCGAAAGTAGAGTCACGATTTTCCCCCATTAAGTGTGATGCTTAGAATACTGAAGCTACATTATACGAGGGGCACCCCAAAAGCAATGCCTCCGAATTAGTCTGTCACAAACTATAAGTGGCACAAAGTCAAAAGCGCAGGTGCAGATGCTTCTAAATGCCCTCCCATTCCTGATAAAGTTTCATGATTCCTATTCCGAAGACTACCACGAAGATTCAAAACGGTGAAGTGAGAAAATTTGTCGGAAGCAGAGATCAGGAATTAATTTCTTCAGACAAACGAGTGTCACCGATAGACATTTATTGTCGTATGAAGGTATGAAGGCTTTGCACACATCTCCGTGAGACATTTTGTGAACCTTCTTTGAACGACAATGAATGTCTATCTGTTGTACACTTGTAGGGAATTCAATCGCAGTCCTCTGTTTCCGACGAACTTCATCACACTTCGCAATTTTGAATCGCCATGGTGGCGGAGCTTTCCGAGTTGGAATCACAAAACTTCTCTAGAAATCGGGGACATTTGAAAGCATATTAAGAAGCAATTTCGGCTAAGTGCCACGAGTAGTTTGCAGTAGACAATATCGAAGGCATTACACACTTTCGAAGTGATGAATCCGTGAAAGCAAATGTTCATCTGTGGCTTTCATCTCACTGGCGAGATTTACTTCAGGGTCGATTTCAATGCTCTCTTTCACTAGTGGCGTAAATAAGTAAATAGCAACGAAGACCCTGTTGAAAAAAAAAACATTGAACGCAGGAAGGATCATGTAAGTACCATGTAATTTTCCCATTTCTAAATTAGGAAATAAATTACTTAAGAAAAAATCATTGAAATTAATTTGGAACATCCCCTTTAAGTTCAGAATTAGAGCTTCCCCCCCCCTCCTCCCCCAAGAGCGAGACAAATCAACTCGCTCCTTTTTCGCTGGAACATTAGGAAATAGTTTTTTTTTTTTTACTCAAGGTTGATCTTGGTGTTTTTGACAGTAGGAGGGAGAACTCTGCGCGTACCATGGCGGCGGCCTTTTCGCTGTAAATTTCGTCCCTTCTGGCTGTAGCTAGAACCATGAGTGATACAATACAACAATGGTGGACATTTATTGAGGCATTCCATGCTCCAGGAAGGACTTGTATGCATAATTTTGAAAGGACGGAAAGACCGGTCAAGGTCTGTCGAAAATGAGGGTCAAGAAAAATGCACGAAAAAATGCCTATATTCTTTCGAGGCCTAATGGGTAGCCTGAAGTTACTAGTGTTGAATGACTTCGTGCTTGCCCTTGGGTTAACGACGCCAATCAAAGAGGAAATGATAGGGAATTTAAGTTTGGTTGGCACCGGGCAATGCCGATCCGTTCTATTCCAAATGTATCTACAGGACGATGCCTATCTTTCTCCCAGTCTCAGAGAGAGATGGGCCCAAATAATGTTCAGACTCGCCCCTAGTCATGGTGCGAGTCTGAACATTATCTACGTTCGTATCATGCTTTGCAGCACCATTCAAGGCGAGCACCTATTTAGTGAAGAACTTTAAATTATGCCGTGTCATTCGAGGGATTCAGATTCAAGGCAAGAACGGACTAGAGATCAACCTGCTGCTGATTCCTTAAATTTCAAAAACTGGTGGAGAATTAAGACCTTTTTCCAGAGATCGTCTCTGGACCGATGAAATCGGCCTCACCTCAAAAGGTAAGGCATCCGCTCCTGGCTTGCAAGGCAAAGAACGCGACGCTGTTAATGCAAATGGAACACACAAACTGCGAGATTGCTGCTTATTGACAGAGCGAATTCCTCCGTTGTTTTAAAAATGTGCACATGGATGGACTTCCGTTCTCCTACTGCCGTGCTGGGAAGTGCCTTGCTACTGATTGATGACGCTTTAGCCCATCCAACAAGCAGACTGCTCGAAACAGATGATGGCACTATTAAGCGCACGTTCCTGTCTCCAAATATAACATTCATCCACCCGTGTTTCATCGAAACGGTAAAGAGATGTTATAGAAAGCAACTTCTTCTGGTTCTTGCAGGCGAATCAGAATAAGTGATTGCAATCCGCAAGCAGTTGAACATACTGTAGAACACCGTGCCTGCATGGTTGCTCTTGCCTGGAGTTACACTTGGAGAGAGAGTTGGACAAAAGATTGGAGAAAGTCGAAGTCGACAACAGCCTCATCAACGGATCGAGGCTGGTGAGCCAAATGGATCCCCTGAGATTGTGAAAATATGCGGTTGCAGTGACTGGATCTAGATGAACGTCGATGATTGGTTGCGTAGCAAGCGGGTCAACCCAGGCCGTGAATTCAGGAGTGACGACAAACTTAACTTATCGCGGTCGAGTCCCCGTCAGCAACACTAGCTAGTAAGTTGAAAGATGAGGAAACTGACGATGCCGATGACGGAGCAAGCTCCTGCCAGCCTCACTTGAAGAAATTCACTTCCCTTGAAGCGGAAATGAGGTGGCTCTAGTGTCAAACCGAATTGAATGCAACGTAACTGCTATCCCTCGAGTCCCTTTGTTCTTTTGAGAGCATATCGATCCAGTGCCTAGTTACAGCTTGGAGAATATTGCTCCCTCTTGTTTTGTCCATGAGGGCATCACCTCATCCTAAAGCTATCCACGAAAGGGGCATCCTCACCTATCGTCTTCCATGCTTTAACTACAAAGTAGTTGAAGGATTAGCTGAAGTAGTAAGAATGTTATTTCTCTACTGGAGTTTCCCTATGGGCTTGCGCAACTTCAAATGTTTCCCACTCGTTTTACTGTTACCAACGAGATGGAAAAACTTAGCACGCTTCATGTTATCGATTCCCTTAATGACCTTAAATGCTTGGATGAGGCCCCTTTGATAACCTTATCTCGAGTTATTAAAGTCTCAACGCTCCAGACGCCTCTCATATGAAAGTGCTCGTGTCCCCATTATAATTTTCGTAGCCCGCCTCTGAACCTTTTCCAGCGCTATCTTTCATTTTCATTTTTTTAGGCCTCCAAAATTGAAAACAATGCTTTAAATGGGGTTTTGCCAATGCTGCATACAACGGAAGAATAGGATGCGAGCTCTTATTGGTAATGACATGTTGAATTGGGCCTAAACTCCCATTACGGTTAACTGCCGTCACCTGCATTTACTCAGAGAACAAGAGTTTCTCACCGATCGCGATTCCTAAATTTCTAGCCTCGTTCCCCTCCTCATGTCCTCGTCAAAGGCATTCAGAGAACTATGATTGTCATGATCAATGGAAGAATCTTCTCTATTAAACTCCATGAGCAATTTTTTTTCACTCGTTCAAAAGCTTTAAATTCCTCTCGGCTCTCGCTCTGTCCTCCCCCTTTATGATGGAGAAACCTCTTTTCGCCAAGGTGGAAAATATACAGATTTTACTCTGGAGGCCTGATTCTAAATCCTTAAAATATAAACCAGAAGCAGAAGTTGTCCTGATTCCGAGCCCTTTGGAACGCTGCTCGCGACCTAGAATTCGGCCGACACTTACCCCTTACCGTTTCCACTTCTGATAAGGCTGCGACTCCCCTTGACCTGCAGAGTCGAACTAGCTAGAGTAATTATTGAGGAAAGTAAAAAAGAGAATTGTCAAGGGTTCACCCATCGCTCCTTAGAACTTTGTTCCTAAACTCTGCTCGCTGACAGTGGATCGTCCCATTTGGATGCTGTCGGCAAGAGACTTCAGGGGGTGTTTACGCCCGCACAGATTACTACAGTGTTATTCCAATTCACCCAACGCCTCAACGTTTTGATCTGCCAACATTTTCCTGCGCACAATACAGTCGACCCTCGATATATCGCAACTTGTTATACCGCCACCCTCACATATCACCAACTCTTTCTGGAGAAGAGTACTCCCCGTAAGCTCTTAATAGGCGATTGTCGGTTATAACGCCACCCTTGCCAGCCGCCAATCGCCGATACCATCGCATGTACATATATGTTCTTTTCCATGAAAATCCTCCTCGATATTGTGCCAAGTAGCGTAAGTGCTGCAACTCTTATTCAATACTAAGCACAGCTAAATATTTGCTGCCACCGTTAGAGGCGACTTAGTCGTGGAATAGTCTGCATTGGACAAATGTAGATTATCGGAAGGGGCTAAGGATGCAATATATACTGTATATTATGTTTCATATCCATTTAGTCAATTTTTCCTTCAGAGATTTCAATATCGAAGCAATTAACATACTGCGGTTCATTCGATATAGTGCCACCCGCGTTATGGCACGACGACGAACAGTGGCGCAATATCGAGAATTGACTGTATTTTTTAAAATATCGGCTTCACCGCTTCGAATGGTTTCTTGAATTCATAACTAGCGGTTCGTCTGCATTCCTTCGTGCGAGAGTATGTCGACACTTATTGATAACTACACTATTTACTCCAATTGAATGATGCACAAAATTTCAAATGTCCAGAGATCTGGATATGGGATGCAAGTGGTTAAACTGGACTGGGTGTTTTGGATTATTAGCCCGTCACCACTTTCCAGAACTTGAAGAGTACTTGAGCCTCCCTCTGCAGGCACGTCTGCCGACCGAGACGAGCTAAGGCCCTTCACTTCTTTTAAACCTGTCTCAGTTAAGAAAAACTTTTTTTTCCCTCCTTTCCCAACCCCCACCACTCTACCCAAGCAAACCACAGGACGGAAAAGACAATAAAAATGATATAACTTTTATTTATATTCTGAGTCTTCATTTTCTTCATTCATATCTTCATTTTCTGAGGCGCTGCCATCGTTTTCCAAATTTTTATTCTCATAAACTTTGGAAAAATTGTTTTTCTTTCTTTATCACTCGATTCTTTTCGATCGCGGCCACTTGGGCTGCTGTCACCTTCCCCAACTCTTTTCGGGTGCGTCTTTCGACACTTGTGATTGTAAAATTTTTGTTTCGGCGACGAATTGCTGTCTTGACCTGGGCCCAAACATGTTCGATGGCATTCAACATTGGATGGGTGATGAGAAGAGTTGGGGGAGATGTCAGCAGCCCAAGTTTTTCCATTTTTCCAAGGCTTGTGAAAATCGAAATTTGGAAAATAATGACAGCGCCTCTGAAAATGAAGATGATGACTCAGAATAAAAACAATAAATATAGCATTTTTTATTGTATTTTCCGTCGTGTGATTTGCTTGGGTCAAGAAGTTCGGGGCTGGGGAAGGAGGGAAAAAAATATTTTTTCTTAACTGAGACAGGGTTAATCAGTGCAGGCGTTTTAACGAGCGTCGCCAGAGCAACTCGTAGTAGAAGTAGATCCCCAATCGCATAGTTTCAGATCTCTGCAATTGTCGGGCCGTAATGGATGAAGCCCTGCGGACTCAGAGATCTCCGGGAAAGGGTAATGAGACATTCGACATGAGCGAGAACGCAAGTTGTGAGGGTCGGACACACAACTATTCCCGCTGCGACACTTTCATGCTTATAAGGAGGGAAGGAGTCCACATATTCTGCTTTCTTGAGAAATGAATTGCGTGAACTACTGCATATGTGATATCCTGGATTATCGTAATTGCCAGTACGATTGAGAAAAGAGGGAAATACTTCGATTCAGTTCGATTCAGAAGGGAGGATCTTATTCTAAGGTCATCGACGAGGGCCGGAGAACCGACGATAATCATAATTAATCTTACAATAACTCTAAAGTTATTTATAGGGAAAAGAACTAAGACTCAGCTCACCTGGTTGTTTATGTGCTGTGATGATAAGACGAAAGCCTTTGTCGGGAATCCCATAGGGATCAGTCGTGTATTTGAGGGTTACATGGTTCCCCTGAGTTACCACTACATCGACTGTGGACACCGCGTCTCGGCATGATAGATCCTTCTGTAGGCGAGGACAGAAATACAATGAAGATGATACACCTTAAACGTAAGACAGATCGTTATCTCGCTGCAGCCTCCTCGATAGGTGTTATATATGGTGCGTACCTTGGGTTTTCCGACGGCATTGGCTCGATCGAAGATCTGGAGATGATCGTGACAGTCGAGCTCGAGTTTTTCAAAACGAAGAAGGAAATGTTGAAGAGCAGAGTCCGTCTGGAAAGTTATGGTACAAGTGAGATTTGGTTCGTTGTGCGAATAGATCAAAGCCCCCTGGAGTCTCTGGAACAGCTGCTCTCCCTGTGTCCGACCACACAGCGTTCCAATGTTGACTGCAACACATCACAACAATTTTCATTATTTAGGAATGTATGAGTGATAGGATTCAGGTGCAGTGCAATGCTTCGATGCGGCGTTCTGCTCCTCGTAACCAGCCTCATCAGTCGGTGTGGTAATGTTGAAGTCAAAGGTAAAATTTTTTCATGGGGCACTCTTGTCATGCTCATGGTAGAACCCCAGGAATTAAGATCGTCTTCTCTTTTCATCGCTTTCAGTACGGTATAGATCAAATAGCTCAGGCGATCAGAAAATCCCGCTTCGCATTTTTATAACTTTCGTGCATGCGACTGATGATACAAAAGGGGGAAAATGTAACTGCCCTTGCTTCATCAGGCAGGGTCTTCATTTAATCCTGCAGCTCCAGCAATGAACTGTGGTCATTTAGCTGGAAAGTGCCCCTCACTGAGGCCAAAATATCCATTGGTACGTTACGCATGTAGACCTTTGTCTCAATTCGTCAACAATCTGCTAAATAGGAAAATATGCCATTTCGAAATGTTGCCATGAGGGCAAATATTCTCCTCTTTTGGTAGTGCAGAATGAGAATTGAGGCATATCTGGCTTGCACCATGGAGCTGAGAGTCTCAGCTCTCTAGTGAGAAGCAAACATTCTTTTTAATTTAAAAAATCGATTACTTGCACTTCAAGAACCGACAAAAAGAAATCGCATGTTTGCCTTTTTATAGTATCATTAACTAGCTCTTGCCCCTCAAGGCCTCATACCGCGTACATCAGATACATTTCACACCTTGGATCAGTTCATAAGGCTACATTCATTCATTCATTCATTCATTTAATCGGTGCCCCATTCCTACTCGATGGAGTCGCGATTCAGGCAGACTCTGGAGCATCGTCTAGTTCATTTGGCATTGAACCCAAGATCTGCAGGAAACATGTCAAGCATCCTGCATTCTGAGCTTTCATGACAAAGCTTCTCAGTATAGTTCATCTTCCTCGAGGTCTTCTGCCGGCCATCCTAAAGTGAAAAACTCCCTTTGGAAGTCTCAAATCACTCGACGTAGTACTTCTCCGGATCTCTCGATCGGATAGAGTAGTCGCTCGGGCTCGAGACCCTCACGGATGATGGTGGAGTGCCGGCGCGGCCCACCTGACTTAAAATCCCATTCCAGCAGTTTGCATCCGCAATCTGATTGATTATTTCGCCCAAAGTCATCGCCCAAAGTTCGTGACCAGAGGTGAGGGTTGAGAGATCAACTCCCTTAATAGTAGAACATTTTTCCCCTTTAGAAAATTCCGATCTGGCAGTCAGGACCCGCCAGAGTTCCTGCAAAACTTCGGAAGCGCTGGAGATACGATTGACCGATCTCATTTCCAAATTGTTCGACACTCACTCTTTAGGTCCTATCTATGCTGGGACAAATTTTCGTGACAAATTTTCTCAAGTGAGCATTATTTATGCTAACTTATATATATATTATTTAAATGTTGAGGGTCCTCGCAGACATTATCTGGCCTGGTTTTTCTTAAGCACTCATGGCACTAACTTCAGCGGACCTACGAAGTGCAGTTGTAGCTTTGCATATGCAGGGCTGCACTCAAGCTAACATGTTGAGAATGCAGGGACCGAAAGAATTCTTCTGCGCTTTGCCGAGACCGAAGGCATACATGATCGACCAAGAAGTAGCCGTCCTCGCGTTGTTCGGACACCGGCGTAGAAAGAGAGAGTGAAGAGTCGGGTGAAGCGGAATCGAAAACGGTCAATAAGGAAGTTGGCAGCTGAGATGAAGATCATCCGAGAATCAATGCGGCTGCTGTCACAATGGATCTTTGCATGCCTCCCTACGAAGAGTCCAAGGCACGCAAACAGACAGCAGCTATCCGATGCAAGAGACTCGACCGAAGCAGAAGGCTGTTGGAACGATTCACAGATGAAGATGTGGAGCACATCCTCTTCTCAGATGAGAAGAAAATCGTTTCTCGGTGGCAGGAGTCGACTGGAGTGATGGTTTGTGCAGGGATTTCAGCAAATTGCCGCACAGACCTGATATTGTGCCAGAAGGAGCCAAAGTGAACCGACACCGGTACCGCGAGCTGATTTTGAAGCCTGTGGTAATGCATTGCTGTCAAAAAATCTACGTGCTTGCAAGCGTAAAACCGATAGTGAATCATGAAGCGAGGAAAACATGAAACTAGCCCTCTAAGCAATCGAAACGAATGAAATGAAATGACAGATGGCAGCTATAACTTCTGGTGTTTCTCAGGTACCGGTAAAGGGGAAGGTGAAAAAAACAAGAAGTATCTGGTAGGTAATGAAATGATGGGGTCTGCATTTTCTTTTGTTTTATAACTTTGTCTAAAAAATGTTACATTTACAGGTAAAACTTAATACTTACTAATATTTGACTCTTTTCTTTCTCTTACAAAGTATTATTTTTTTAACGATCATTTTCTACACATGCTTTTTTCATCGAAACGGAAAGTTCGATTTGATCGAAATCAAAATAACCATCCCATTTGGCACAACAACTTTGTGTCAACGTTGAAAAAAGGTTGATGGCAATGTTGTCTCAATGTTGAGAAAAGGTTGACTTTTCAACGTAACATGTTGCCACGATGTTGCCACAATGTTGAAATGAAACACAGCTCAACGTTGAAAAGTTGATGCTGTGCGACGTTGTGTCAACGTTGAATTGTCAACGTACGGGCATTATAGTACCTCCTCCCTATTCCCAGAGTCTGAATAGCTTTGATTATCGGATGACATTGAATATGGACTCGATAACTCCACCGATAACGCTAGCAGTACTCTACCAAGTACAATCATCCCACATAAAAGACCCTCAGAGTTTTATTTCCTCTACTGAATCAGAATTCACATTAAGTACTTACATGACTCAATCCTCTCGGTCCAGTAAGAAGAAAACAGCCTCGTGGGCATGGTTTTTATACTCTATCCATCATGGATAAACCTGAATAAGAGCTCGTGACATGTGGAGATTTAGGAAAATTGAGCGTGTCTCCTCGGACCCACTAGCCAGAAGTGTTTTGGGTCTCCTTCTGCCTGATTACCTCCTTAAACATGTCTATCTAGGAATTCCTATACCTTCCCCTACGCCGTAAATGGGAAAAGATCGGGTACTGGATGAAAAATGCAGGGTACTGTTTATTTCAAGCCATCAGGATAAGAATCGCCGAATCGGCGGTTAGGTGCCATCTCGCGTCGATTTGTAGAACCTATTTTCTGTTTTCCACGTAAAAACAACATTGAGAATAACGATTTTAAAAAAATTTGCTCCTAATAGCCTCTGAACGACTTCCCTAATTCACGAGTAGTCACCAAATGCTGAAAATACGGTTACGTATGAATAGCTAGCATTTCATTGATGTCGATTTTTCGTCAAATTCTCAACTTCAACCAAGTCTCAAAGTTTCAACCTATTCTCAATGTTGATACAACGTTGTTGTGCCGAATGGGTATGTATTGAGGGTACAGTGCGCAGAAAATGGAATCACTGTGAATGTGCTGGGTTCAAGACAGGAACAAAGTACTTTGCTTGTGATAAATGTGTGAATTAGAGGGTGTATCATTTTCCCTCAATAAGTAGGGAAAAGATGATGTGGCGTCATTTTCCAGACAAACTTTTCAACTGTTCTATGCCGAAAAAAATTGAAATGTGCTTATTTTGGTTGCGTATGGTGTCAGCTACACAGAATTAGGATTGCAGATTAATACAGAATTCGGAATAAAATAATTTTTAGCCATATTGTCCATTTGCAGAAAGTTTTTTCTTAGCTCTGTCATTTCGCCAATACTTCCGATACCCCTCGATAGGCCTCAAAAAAGGATCTCTTAATCCAAGATGGCCGGCAAAAAGGAAGTCGTTTGATCTCATATAATATGGAAAGACTTCGTCGCGAAGCTTGTCGCAAGAGGCTAATCATCTCAGCTACTTAGTTGAAGTCCGTTGCCCAGGATCAAGAACATTGGAGGACGCTCTCCCTCATGCCGACCCTATTAAGTTGGGTTTACAGACGATGATCTCCGAAACACTTCCAAATTGAGACTTTTCTCCCGATGATTTCGATATGATGTAGATACAACTCAATATGATATATCTTTGATTCCTGAAGATCACACTTTTGACAATGCAGAGGATTTTAGTCACTAGTTTAATGTGAGTGTGTGCTTTAGGGAAGATGAAAGGAAAAGAATGCGTACTCACACTTTTTGTTTTGGGCAAGGGTCGCGCTCTGCTGCACATCTTGAGCAGAGATCACTAGAATAAGAAGGCACAGTGAGAAGTGGCGAACGGGGAACTTGGTGAACAGTGCCTGACTAGGCGTAGGACATGCAAGAATCGGAGAGATGAACTGTCGGGGTCCCATCTCTGAGAAACATCATCTCAGTTGAGGATAGATCCGGAGAATGGGAATAGAAGTATGGCCATCCGCCTTCTCTCCATCGTTTCATCCGCCAGGCGCAATGCGTTCCCCTCCGCTCCCCTCCCCTCCTCTTCCCCTATCCCCGATCAATATACAGTAATATGGGGTAGCTGGCTCTGACCCCCCCCCCCTCTCTCTCTCTCTCATTCTGATAGAAAAGAGGCGGCGGGGAGGTAGTTTCGGACGAAGGCAACGATTCGAATCGACCGAGGCGAGATGCGGATCGTTATGGAGGGCATCATGGCGCTCCCCGGGCATCGCAGACGTTATGATTAAGAATGACGAGGTAGTGCCAATGCCATTTACAGTATAAAATAAAACATAATGTTTGAAATACAAATGAGAGGTTCACACTATAGTGCTTTCTAATGAAAGCAACAATCGGTTTTGGTGGAATGATAAAACAAGAGAGAGCAGGGGTTTATTTTCTCTCTCTTCGATTGAGGAACTGGGAAGAAAGCCATTCCTTCGCCTTACCACCAGATCATCGTGGAAGAATGCAAAATTCTCGTCCGTGTCACTTGCCGGTGTCCGTTTCGCTCAACGATTTGTCGATTTGATCCCACCCGTGAAATACACGAATTCCTCTTACGTTTCTGGAGATACTATTGAGCACACCATCCCAGTTTTGCCTGCCACTTGCTCAGAATGCTTGATTTTACAAATAATAATATTGTATGTAAAAACAGGTATAGAGCAGGTATTCGCTAGGAGTCACCAGCCCACTTTTTGGAGCCCGCCTCGTCTGTCTTGCCTTTTGCGCAGAAAAGAGAAAAAAGGATTTCACAAAGGTGAATAAGAAAAGAGCAGATCGATAATCACTCTAGTTTTTCGGTAGCCCGCTCTCATCTCTTCCATCTCACCTTAGTTTTCATACGTTTAGCGCTTCAGTTAATCGAACGAATGGAAAGAAGCGCGAAGTTACTGTCACTGGTACGGCATTAAAGAACTGTATAAGGAAAAACGTTCTGTAACTTTTTAATAGCTCTCTGAGCTAAAGAGAAATATACCCATCTCCGAAAGTCCTGGTATACTTTTTCGCGATCGAAATTCTCAGCATCGAGAACACTAATCAGAAAAAAAGTTGATACCGAAGGATAGCTTATCTTCTAACTTGTACAAACCCTTCATTGACATCGTGTATTGTTTCATCATTTCCCTAAAATTTGCCTATTAAACCACTAGGTTCGATTTTTCAGCGTGGAACAATGGCAGCTCGATGACTCCGTTCCCTCAAGCATTCTTGGCGAGCCTCAATTTCTTCGTGATATACTTTTCTTTGTGCGTCCCTGAAGTAATTCACGGACCGGGTATTCTTTAACTTGATGATTGCTATTTATTTCAGACGGCCGCGTGACCAAAGTTTAGACCATACGTTTGACGGAGTTTTCAGCGCGATGGCATTTGAACCCCTAGAACGATGCGACCCTCTGCGAAGGCCTCTGCTAGGTAAACCAAGGCGTCTGAGAACATTCGGTCATTGTTTTCTCTTGTCATGAAGGTGCTTAGAAAGAAGCCTACTCTTTGCTCGGCGCGAAAAAAAGTAACCAGGAGACGGCAGTTGTTGATGTTCCATGGAGACGTTGGCCCAAGGGGCTAAATCCAAAGGATAGAGGAATGAAATACCTGATCGATTAAGGTACGATACTGGAAAAGGCCGGATGCAGCATTTAACGTTTTACTTCTCGAGGATAACTCCATACAGTTATTATGTTAGAAGTGTCTGTCGTACTTATTTGAGTCGTATTTATCTGAATATTTACCGATTGAAGGATTAAAAAAGCAGAATAGAGGAAGGTTTCGAAGAATTCGAAGTGTTACCGATGGCACTGAAGGTTAAATCTGCCTCTATATGGCATTTGACACAGCTGGTGCTATGAGAGAAAATAAATTTTATTAGATGCCAGAGAAATAATTAAGTTGAATAGAAGAACTAATGCATGAAAATGCGCAAATGAGGAAGGGATGCCTATCCTACCCAATGAAAGTAGTTGAGGATAGAGGACGTCCACTGATAACGGACATCCAGTTTCTGGGAATGGTTCTTCCAGCTTTTAACCTTTTCACTGCGGTTATCGAGTATGCTCGATCGAGTATACTCGACTCTGAAATGCCGAGCCAGTGTTGCGGGTGAAGAGTACCCTCGATCTCAACATATGAGCCTTTTTGTGGTGATTGAGTATAACCGACGGGGTCCTCATTAGAGCGGTGTTGTTCGGAGATATCTTGAGCATACTGTTCTGCCGAGCAAAAACCCTGCAATTAAAAGGTGAAGAACAGCGCCAGTTGTGTCAACGATGTTGGTGGTATTCAGTCCACAAAACTGCTCCACTTCAACTCTGCGTTCGGACAGGGACATTCGGGACAGGCATTAGTATTAATAGATAGTAAACTGTTTCAGACTGGCCGTAACGGCATCGACAGCGGTCTTTGACATCCAGTTTTAGGCCTCTGTGTGGATGCGTTTCCGAAATATATTTAGTTCCCCTTTTATTATTGTTTTTTGCATCACTGCCTCTTTAAGGGCAGATTCTTTCACCTAGAACTCAGAATCAATCAAACCCTGGGAGCCCAACGTGACTCCAAAGCATGTGAGTCGTACTCAGGAGCAGTGACTTTTGTAACAGTTGGGTGAGCTTGTCTTCAAAATTATTGGCCAAGGTTTCTAGAGCGCCTACCATCACTGGAACGATCTCAGTTCTTGTTCCATTTCTTCCCAAGCACTGCTAGACAAAGCCATTTATGCTCCTTGATGAAACCCGTGGCGCATTACATTTAGTGTCAGAGCCCTTTGCAATAATAGGAAATCAAGAAAAACAATGGCTACCTCTCTATTTCCTCCTGTTTTTGTTAGAAGGTATACATCCCCTAGCTGAGACCCGCGGCAGAGAAACTCATTGGCTTATGAATCTGCATCGCGCACTTGCCAATAAATGGCATAGGGAATCAATATGGCTGCTCACACGTGAAGCAGCGGAGATACGGTTTACATTGCATTAGCGCATGAGTCGGTCTGTTTGTATAAACGGCCAAATTTTTTGTAACTTTTAAATATTCCTGCATAAGGGAGTTGTTCCATCGCTCATATATTGAATTGCTTAGCTGACCTAGCTTTTTTAAAATTACGGCTCATTGAACATTGGAAAGGATCTTCTCATACATGAAAATCTCATTATGAAGTGCTTAGGCTTAATATTAAGTTCATCTTGGGCCTAGCCTAAACTGAACAGATGAGGCTATGTCAATCACAAGCCTGGCAAAAAATTAGGCCTATGATGTCTGGCTTGATTTCCAGATTTTGGTCAATTTTAGGCAAATGATCATTGGCATGACCCGGGAGACCTGTAATATTTTTGTGTAACTTATGTGTCGATTTTCTTTTTGAGAAGCTTGGCTTTATTCAAACTGTTGTAGTTTGAGGAAGCAGTTTAAGAAGGCAAGAGAAAAGCAATGCAAAAAACCTTGCAAATTAGTTTTGTTCAAGAGCGAAACAAGAATCCTTTGAAAGTATCATGTCATGCTCCTGATGGGGGTGTCATGTAGTTGAATCTACACCCTTCCCCCCCACAGGATATCTAGAAGGGACTTTTGCTCTCTTTACTAGTGTCTAAAGTTCCGTTTCATTGAGATAAATAATGCTTTTGTAATCCATAAAGATAAATGTCAGCCAAAAAAGTTGATGTAGCTCCAAGTTTCATCGTTATGACTTAACTCTTTTTTAGGCTGCAATTTTAAGGGTAGAGAATATATATGATGTCATGAAAACGTTCCAAGAATGGTTCTTTGACACCCTTATTCCTTGATGTACAGATACTTATTCTTGTGCAAATGTTGTGGTGGGCCTTGGTAGTGCATGATATAAATTCCTGTTTTTTTTTCTTGTATCTTTACTCAATTTTTTTCAATTTTAACCAAAGGAAGACTGTAACCTCCCCCTTATAATAGTGAATGGGAATTCTTTTAAACTAATGAAAAATTTTTTAAAGTGTAATCAAATTTTGCATGGAGATAAAAAATCTCATGTCCTGAGAACTATTCAATTAGCACAAGCTTTTGGCTATAAACAAGGGGTGGATTGCATAAAACTGACTTTAGTGTAATAAAGCTTTAAACCTTTAACATGCTAAAGGAGGTTTAAACCTCCTTTAGTGGTGCTAATGGAAATTTAAAGCTTCAGTGTGCTAAAGTCAGTTTTATGCAATCCACCCAAGATCTTTAAGGAAAACCATAATGTCAGGTTTATTAGTATCAGTTCAGAAGTGGAGTATGATGATAATTTCCAGAATGCCACCAAAAGAGATATCCAGGTGACAAGGCCAATTGTGTCAGAGAGAGAAAAGCCAAAAAATTCTTATCAATATTCTGTTGGTTCTCATTCTATTTTATATGGTCAAGTTTTCACATTTCAACTAAGGAGGTTTATGACAGTGAGTCATGACTCTCGTAACTCCTTAACTTATTTGCCAGGGAGGAAAACACGAATCATGCACGAGTTTCATTAGGAAGCAATATTGGTGTGGCAAGATGCCCAATATTGCCATGAGATGTTTCTGGGACTAAGAAATGCTGAGTTGACTCATAACATACAGATTTCTGCTGAAGGGACTCAATAATATTATCTTAAGTGGAAAGTTAAAATCCCATGCCCTCAGTTTGCATATTTTTGGAAATGAGGGTAACACTGGCATGATGTTCTATGCCAACATCCATTACAGGAGTCAGCTACAGCGGGAATTAGGCGTTAGCTTATATGTGCTGCATGTCAAATGAAGTGGATATTTTGTGTTTTGGTTGTATTTGAAGTATTATTTTTTGAGAAAGAAAAAATGAAAACAAGGAATGTTCTTAATTTACAATTCTGTAGAATTTAAAATAATAAATTGAATGAATTGCCTGTCATTTATTTTGCAGAAAAAAATGCAAGTTACTTTAAACAAGAAAATATAAAATATCCACTCCTATTGATGCAGAGTGTAATTTCGTCAAATGATATACTGCATTTTTATTTTCATCATTTTTATTTTTATCATTTTTATTCTTGGAGTCATCATTCTACCCAGGTGCCAATCATAGAGAGAGATTTAATCATGATCTGTTCTGATCCAATTGTTTTTGTGGAAGAGGGCAGAAGCATCTTCTCTCCATTTATTCCCATTTACTTACCTTTACCAATTTACCCATTTATCTTTAGAGGATTTGGCCTTTCTTTGATGGGTGGGGGGTTTGATGATGAGTACTTGACCTTGACTTGGTTAGGGTGTTGTCAATATGGATGGAAATGGCTTTTGATATCCCATTTTAAGCTGTGAATCTGGAATACCCTATATGATTGCTTGTTAGAGTATTCTGGAGGTAAAAATGACATGTACAAAAGCAAACATGTACAAGCAGGAAATAACATTTTGATCTTGCTTGTGGCATATACGAGAGGGTATAAAAAAATAAGGTTCCCTAATTTTTTTTTTGCTCCAAACTTATTTATTTTAGCAACCAAGTAGTGTATACAGATGAACAAATACAAGTACATCAACTATTTTTCAACATAGTTGCCAAAATTATTCAAGCACCTTTTTATTTTGTGAGCTCTTATAGTTTTGTGTAAATTAAATAGGGAACCTTATTATTTGATATGCCCTCGTATAATTTTCTGGCCAGGATCATATATGGTAAGGCAATTGTTATTGATGACGATCCTTCTTTGGAAAATTCATTCAAGAAGAGATTAGAATCTTGCCCATAGGTTAGACATTGTTTTGCACCTAAAATATATGTGATTCTTGATTAGCACATGCAATTTTCCTGCTTAGGATGGAGATGTATGGAGTATCACCACTTGCCTACAAGAAACATATACTGTGATTATGTAAGCAATCCTGATGTGATTAGCACTGAGGAATTAGTGGAGTCATCTTTTATTCCACCTAGTGATGGCCCTAGAAAGCTATGGAAGGAGTGGCTGTCTGGATGTGTATGTGAAGGAAGAGTGGCACAAAGCAATTGTTTCTCTTGACAGTGATTGCCTTTGGGTCACCATCCAGGATATTCCTGTTCAGAATGGGACCTTGAATGGAGATGATGATGTGCCAGCTTGCATAGCCAACCAAAAACGAATTGTGAGGGTAGTGAAAAATGACAACAATGGCCTTGGAATCTCCATCAAGGGTGGAAGAGAGAATAAGATGCCAATATTGGTCTCCAAGATCTTTGAAGGGATGGCAGCTGCTCAGACAGAACAGTTGTATGTTGGAGATGCAATCCTGTCTGTTAATGGAGAGGATCTTCGGGATGCTACTCATGATGAGGCTGTGAAAGCTTTAAAAATGGCAGGAAAAGTGGTTGAACTTGAAGGTGAGAAGAATATTGCTGGAAAGGCATATAACATCATGTGCTGTCTTTGTTCACTGTTTGAAATTTTAATCTTGACCTGTACTCATGATCCTTCAAGGCAGCTCTGAGTGTTGGCCATTGTATTATTATTATTTTTTGCCTATTCTGGCTATTCTAAACGAGTTCATACAAAATTGAATCAAATATGTGATTTTACTTGTGACCTAGCTGCCCCTGTAATAGATAAAACTGCATTCAATCAGATAATTGCATAAATAATTATTTCCATCCACACTTCCTTGCAAGAGTTTGCAATTTTAGAAACATGAAAATTATTGGATCTGAACCTTGCTCCTTAGGGCTAGAATTTTTTTACAAGTCTGCACACAGAAAATCAGACAGGTGGGAGAAGATGTTGAAGTCTAAAGAAAATTTGCCAATTTCCCTTCCTAACAGAGTGTAATTTTTTGCTTCAGAAACAAAATTTGATTTATTTGTCAATATTAGTCCAAGGATGTGGCCAAAGATTGACATAGCTTTCCTTCTGGAAGATTTTTGCAGAAAAAAAATCAGGGGGTAAAATTAACCAACTTCTCTTTATAATGTGGCATGGCATTTTCCTTCAAAAAGATGACTATTTAATAAGAAAAAAGCAGAAAAGAGTAGCAGCTAAGCTTTCCTTTGATATAAAGTCATGTCTCATCTTGTGCTGCATCAAGCCATGAAAATTCAAACTTAGCACGTTTCACATTTTTGATATGACTGAATTACCTAGTGACCTTGCTGTATAACTGGACGAGCCTTCTTCTGGAGAGTGTTTAAACTTCCTAGAATTCACATGCCAAATTTCTTCTCTAATTATGCTTTTTTCGGAAAGGAGTTTGCCAGGCTTTGTCCTTGAAACTGAACTTGATTTTAAACAAATATGAATAGATGAAAAAATATTTTTTGAATTAGTGTCTTTCATTGAACTCAAATATTCAAATCCTATTCCAACAGTTTGAGAAAAGATATTGTGCCCAAATGGGAATACCCCTCTCTCCCAGCTATCCTCCAAAAGAAGTTTGCATCTTTATATGGCTTCCAACTAAGTACCATACAATGCTCAGCAGAAAATTTACAGGGTATTACATCCAATATTTGTGAGTGCTCTTATGAAAAATTAAATGAAGTTGGTCATAAAAACCTGTTTGCACCTTTTTCTTATATACAATGTCAAATAAACAAGTGTGTCTTTCAATTCCTGCTTGTTTAGCTGAACTTGGCAAGTTTGATTGTGCAGAAAGGCAGCCATGAGATTCCATATGTGACTTACTTGCTCATTTGAGAAAATGTTGGAAAGAAGCTCTTGAGTTCTTAACAACTTATTTCCTTTAAATTTTCATAAAACCACCTAGGAGAACAGACAAGCTTGCCTCTGAGAGTTTTGTCAGGAGTCCAAAGAAATCCCTAGAATGTGCATCACATGCACTTAACATCTCATGCGAGAGTGGGTTCTCTGTTCTTGTTCTGGTGGGTATACCACTTCTTGGTGCATTATTCATAGAACCTGTTGTATCATACTTCTAAGCAAGCTTGTCAATTGTTTGCCTTGGTGCATTTGCAGCAGGAAATTGACCCTGAGAGCTGTAGTCACCACTTAAAGTATAAAAACTTGCTGGTCTATAGTTATGAGTCTCCATCTTCACCTACAATAAAAATAAAAGCATGTAAATAACAATAATGATAATTAAAAACAAAAACAATATCACGCAACATTATTAACAAACTAGGTTTTGTAAGAAATTAATAGAGCTGAAAATCCTTAAGTAAACTAACTTGTAGGACACCCTGTATAATATGTTTCCTTCACCTCCTGTAAATTTTAGCCTTTGCCAGATTTAGAGAGGAGATAATAGTTGCAGGATATCCTCCTAATTGCTTAGTTAAGCTTGCTATTCATAATATTTTATCGATTCATAAGCTGTTTGAATGGATATGGCCCTTTGCAAATTTATTTCATTGCTCAGAATTCTGTGTGGCAATTATAGTGAATTCAATATCATTAGGTAGCTCTCTTCGTCTTCTTTGATTCACTTTACAATTCATTATGACATGATGTCAAAAATCTTGACTGGGTGATGATAGAAAGATGTATGATTTTTTCCTATCTACTGCTACTTGACCAATCATTTTTTTGCATTTTTCATCTCCAAGAAAATAACCAAACACTTCCCCTAGCATCTTGAGTGAATATATCCCTTTTTTCTCTCGTTGATTGCTTGAAGTTCCATGCCGCAATCACGGTGAATTCTCCATTGTTGGATAGCTCTCTCCATCATCTTTTATTTCAATTTACATGAGGACTCTTGTGGGAGTCACAATAGAGTTATTAAGTGAAGGTGGAAGGTTCATTATGCTCATTGTTTCTTCATCACTAGTTAAAAAATAATAATAATGTACTTGTTTGAAAATACCTAGACATTTTTCCTTAACCTTCTTTCATTACTGCTTCCCATGGAGCATGTGATTTTCACTGAAATTCTCTTTAAATGGCAGAAAGTAAATGAAAAAGTGATGAGGTGAACCCATTGTGAACATAAAAACATTTTTCTACTAGATCTTTATTTTTTAAACACCATTCTTTGCAGTTCTATTTCCTGTTATTCTTATGTGCATTCAATAATGTATGGGAAAACCTTCTCATACTGCAGCTTATAGTTTAAAGAACAGCCTTTTATATATAATTTATTGATTTTGCCTGCAATGGTGGTTTTGCAATAAATAGAGAGATGTTCTATGCTGGCTTATAGCCATTGCCCCTTTCCCCTATATAGATTATGTTTCTCCAAAGAATGACAGATGGTGACAGATCTGTAATGAAGTGGGACTTGCCATGTGCTCTTTTGTAACTCAAATTCATTTTTATACTCTGGAGGTTTTTTCATCTTCCAGACTGAGGTTTAATTATGATTGCCTTGAGTTTTCCCAGTTGAGACCCTTAAAGAGCAGTCAGCAAATCCTATCTCCAGTGGTAGACCTATGGGAAATCATGCCACTTGAAATGAAAAAATTATCCTTTGTAGTGAAATATCTGAAGGAGGTGACAGTGTTCTTCCGGAAGGCTTCATTCCTCAGTGAAGTAGGATGGGAATTTGAATGTGGATTTCTGGACTCCGAACATTCTCCATCCAATGTCCAAAATAAAGGAGAGGCAAGATGTATTCCTCTCCACATGAGCCTCCTCGCTCGGAATCTCAAAGTCACTGATCCAGGTAGGCTCTGTTCTTTAAGCATTTTATAAATATGATGAGAGATCTGCTTGAAGTTGCCCTTCACCTTTGCTAGTTAAAAAAAAAAATGAAAAGCTGAACTCTAACTCAGCATTTTTGTGTTCTCAGATGATCGAACTTTTGAAATTCACTCGCCTGATGGACTACATTGCTGCATATTTCGCGCATCCTCAGCTGTTGAGGCTGCAGCTTGGTTCAATACCATCCATTCCATTCTGAATGTATTGACTAACAAGGCTATTTCAATGGTAAATGCCAAACTACACTCAGTGCTGAATGGTGCAGAAATACAACACATGGGTTGGCTGCTAGAAAAGGTGAGCTCATCTGCAATTCTTACTTGCATGTTGATTCTCTTGAATTGAGGGATGAGAAGTACACTGTAAAAGTAAAACAATTCAAATATTAATGATGTTGAGAACATGAGGATTTTCTTTCAAATATGCATGGAACCAGTTATGTTTATTGGGGTAGATGAGGGGGGGAGAGGAAGGAAAGTTTCAAAGCAACTGGGATCTAACATGCATCTCTGGAATTCAACAATGTTTTTTAATGAGGGGTCAGAGAAAATCTTGACGGTTCGTAGAGTATGATATAAATTTCTTTTAGATTTTCTTGCAGCTGTATATCCCCAATTTTCTTCCCTATTTTTCAGTCTTGAATGAATCCACTTAACACTTCTTACCATATGAATCCAAAGTTTTTGTTTGCTTCAGCCTCATGCACAAATATCCCTGAATAATTTTCTGCAAGGACTGCTTGGTGCTCTATTCTTCATTCATATCCTTAGCATTGGGACACCATAGTTTTAATATTTCAGGAATTTTGAGATTTTTCTTTCCATATGTTTGCTCATCAGAGTTCATGGGAGACAAGAGCTTTTCAAGATTTCTTAGTATATAAAGAGTATCCCATAAATGGGTATTCATTTTTATTTCTTGAATACAACTCACATACACAACTTTCCAGTTGAAACTTATATGGAGCAGTTAGAGTAATCTTTGAAGTTTTGTTTAGTACTAAACATGTCTAACTTCTTCTTCAACTCACTTCTTTTCAGAGGGAACCTTGGCAAGGTACCTGAGTTTGGAGGAAGGGTGTAAAATAGCAGCATGGATGGAAATTTATGAAAGTGTTGTGGTTGTGCAGAAAAAATACCCAAGTTACTTTCAGAGGCAAAAACATACAAAACCATTGCATAAAAGTCAAAATGTTTTTGTGGGGTTTCATCAAGGACAGAGTTAATGCCATGCACTCACAGTCCTTGGATAAGCTACAAGATCACATCACTAATGCTATTCAGGGTATATCCTATGTCATCTGCAAAATTTATGGATAATTTTATTCAACATCTCCAGATGTGTTTTGAAAGAGAAGGAAGACGTGTTGATCACTAAAAAAAACTTCAAAGATTACTCTAACTGATCCATAAAAGTTTCAACTAGAAAGTTGTATATGGTTGTTGTATTCAAGAAATAAAAATGAGCACCTATTTATGGGACACCCTGTATATGTTATGAAGAGGAAGGAAAAAAGGTTAAGGGGCCTCTAGGGGTTCACACAAAAAACTTACAATCTCAGAACAAAAGCCAGGGGAACCTATCTATTGATATAGGGGTATGTCAAGGATTATAAGTACCTGCAAATTAGGTACAGAAACAATGGGGTTGCCATTGGAATGATACCATCTTGGATTTCAACAGATTATCTTAGAGCTGTCCTAGATATTGATATTGAGCTGATATTTTTCTAAACAACCTTTTAACATTTTTTCATACAATATGAGGAATGCAACTGAGCAAAATGGATTAGTTATGTCAGTAATGAAAAAATGCATATATTAGAATTTTCACCAATCTGATGACATCATTATATATTCATGACTCCATATTTGAACCCACACATATCCTATGGTCCCAAAAGTGCTTCATTGCACAGCCCAGGTTGTTCTGATGCTCTGTTCCAAATTTAGTGGTTCTAAATTCAATATTTTTTTTATATGAACCAAAGCACCATTAATTTTGAAATCCCATTCTGAAACCCTAGAGACCCCTTAAGTTTAGAGTGGGAGCAGTTGTAAATGAAAGGAGCAAGGGCATTATACCAGCCCTGTGCCAGGTTCCCTCCACTGTTCTGGTTCCAGAAATGGGGGGTTACCATAATAGCACAGTGGCTTTTTTTGGGTCTTGGAATAAGGAGTAGACTGAATATAAGGGAAAGTGACCAGAAACATAGATCATTTTACAGTGAGGAAAAAAATATCCAACTTATCTCAATGGCTCTCTATATGCCTTCTTGTTTCCTTGAAAGTCCAAATTCAAAGAGTGAGAATTGTAAGAGAATGGGTCTGACTTAATAAGAACTATTGGCTGAAGGACAGGTTGGCTCAAAGGGGAAATTGTGTATTGGCTGTATGAAGTTTCTGCCTGGACTATTGGTTTGTGCTAGTGGGAACCCATACAGAATAATCGTGCATGATTTTATGAGAAATAGGCATTTATATTATGCATGTGACAAATGTGGTCCATCATATATTGTTATGAGGGTGGTTCAAGTCATTCCTGGACTTTATTTTTTGGAGCATATCTTTGCAATGCAATAACTTTCAAACTACATCTGCACATAATTGCCCTCTACAGCACAGCATATTTCGTAATGGTGCACTAGTGCCTGAATGCCCATAGCATAGAAAGACCTGTCTCATTGTTTGAACCATTTTAGGATGTGCTCTTTCACAGCTTTGCCAGATTCAAATTGCTGTCCTCCCAGGTGCTCCTCAGGGGCCAAAACAGATGGAAATTGCTCAGAGCCAAATTGGGGTTGTAGGGTTGCAGTGTGTGAGAGACGCCCAGTTGAGACTGACCAGTTTTGCCGTGGTTTCATGGGCCATGTTTGGTCGAGCATTCTCTTGCAGAAAGAGCACTCTGAGAGAGAGTAGACTGGGCCATTTTTTGCAAATGGCTGCCACTACAGTTTGCAGGACCTTGCAATAATAGACAGTGTTGATGGAAGAGCCTTTTGGGAAAAGCCCCCCCCCCCCACATGAATAACTGGAGTGATCCCAGAATGCCAAAGCCATGATCTTGCCCTGTCCAAGGTCATCTAGCACACTTTTGTGCCCAGCTGTAAAATGTGAATACCACATTAACACAGCCAATCTTTGGAATGTTTCTCCACCAAACTGGGCTCTAATTTACAAGTGAATATCACTTGGTTTGATGCCTTTCCTTTACCAAAAACTTGGACACAATACTCTGTTCAAGAACCAAATTAAATGACTTCTCTGCCATTTCGCCTATCAGATGACACACAATTTCCACAACAATGTTTATTGCAGAAATTAGTTTCTTGAGATCCTCACTTTCAATCCATATGCATAACTTGTGATTTTCTGAGCGATTGAAGCCTTCTAAAATAAAAAGTCCAGGAATGACTTTAACCACCCTCATATATGCTGACATATTTGGGGAAATATTTCTGATAGTTTTTTTTACTGAAACAATGAGTATATGATCTTAAATAGCAGGGCCTTATATAAAATTAATTAAATGAATCTGTTTCAAAGAAAGGGAACAGCAGATAGTATATTTATATGATTTTGGCTTGTCTATTTTGCATATGGTAGAGCATATATGTCATTCTCACAATCTTCTTCAAATGTATCTGATTGGAAAGAAAGTTCTCGGAATTTCATGAACAATTATTACAACCCAGTTTATTTAAAAGCAAAATCATCTCAATCATGAATGTAATCACCATTGGCCTCTATCACTTCACGCCAACGTTTATGCAAACTATGGATGCCATTCCAATAGAACTCTGGCGGCTGCGCTACGAAAAAGTTGGCCAAATCGGTTTTCAGGTCGTCTTGGTTGGCGTACTGCTTTCCACCCATGTGACGGTCCAGGGCAACGAAAAGGTGATAATCGGACGGGGCAAGGTCGGGGCTGTAGGGCGGATGCGGCAGCACCTCCCAGCACAGGTCCAGTAACTTTAGATGAGTCTGTCTAGCGGTGTGCGGCCGGGCATCGTCGTGGAGGAGGATGGTTCTCTGTCTTTCTGGGCGTGTTTCAGCCAGTTTCTGCTGCAGCCGATCGAGTTGCTGGCAGTAGTAGGCAGCAGTGATGGTGGTGTTTTGCGGCAACAGCTCAAACATGATGATGCCTTTCGAATCCCAGAAGACCGAGAGCATAATCTTTTTGGGGTGCAACTCCTGACGGGGTTCTCTTTCGGCCGATGCTCCGGCGTCCACCCACTGACGTTTTCGTCGAATGTTGGCATAGAAGGTCCACTTTTCGTCGCCTGTCACCACTGAGTCTAGCCGATCCGTTCGGCGCGAACGTGACAGAAGGGAGATGGCCATGTCTACTCGTCGCTGGCGGTCCCGATCATCCAGCTTGTGGGGTACCCAGCACCCCAACTTTGCCTTCTTGCCGAGCTCAGCCAGATGATGAAGGATAGTTGTATGGGAGACACCCAGCAAGTCCGCAAGCTCTCGCGATGTTTGCCGGTTGTTGGCCTCCAGTGCCTCCTGCAAGGCAGAGTTATCAAACTCCAAAGGACGACCGGTGCGTGGCTGGTCTTCCAGGCTTTCATTTCCTTTCTGGAAGCGACTGTACCAATCATAGGCAGTGCTCTTGGACACAGTGTCCGGGCCAAACGCGGTATTGATGTCAGCGATGGAATTGGCTGCCTTCTCCTCGATTCAGAAGTCATAAAGAAGAAGCAGGCGAACTTGCTCCTTAGTAAGAGGGTAGGGCTGGTTCATGGCTGGAGAGCACCAGGGCTGTAATAATATACGGTTCTATGCCGAAGGACACGACCTACTTATAAACACACGCAGAACATTTTAGCATGCTCTGGAAAAAAATTGTACTGGATATTCAAGAAATTCCGAGAACTTTCTTTCCAATCAGATAATAAATTACTTCAGTATCTATGCTGGTAATTGACACTTTATTTGTCACTTCAATTACATTGGAAATACAAAGAATGCTGCCCTCTTGTGCTGAAAATTAAACATGCTGGAATAAGTAAATGAAAATGTCCAAATTAGTTATAAATTGTACACAAATTGAATAGTCGTTTAGAAATCCATATTTATCAAGTTGGGCAAGTTGCTCTATCAATAAGGGATAAATAATAAAAGAGGAGAGCAATCACTGTAGGTTCTCCATAATACTGCCAATTAGGTATTCATTTAGTGACGATTTTATGGTGAGAAGTGAAAAATCGCCACTGTGCAAACCCTGTGCTATCTCACTGTTCGAATGTTATCATGTGGAATTCTCTTCATGAGCAGTGCTCTAACTTCATTGCAGCTGAAGATGGCCTCAAAACAGCCCTGACTGGAATTCTGTGGATTACAACGTGAGGTTCATTACAGGAGATGTTGTATTGCACGAAAATCCAGAATGTCCAGTGCGTGAATCATCGCTTGCTGGATTGACTTGAGTCAGTCAGCAATCAATTGGGCAATCCAGCAGCAGCAGGTTGATTGATTGTAGTTGAAGAAAATGACAGCCACATTGAACATCGCTCTCGCTAATCCAGTATTTTTAGCAACGTGTTATTACTTTGCTCTTTTCAAATGTACCTGTCCATTAACAATCTTTATCAAGTGTACCTTTACAATGCTTTTCATGAAAACATGCAACTGAATGAAAATGAGATGAGTTGAATGAAGACCTCTTGATTGAACAGCAACAATTTTTCACCTCTCACTGTAAAATTGTCGCTGTGCAAAAACTTATGAACTAATTTTCACAAAACAAGGTGCTTTCAATTACAATTTTGTCATTCTAATCAATGGCTTCATTGCAGGAACCTAACTTAATTAGCGATAATGTGACAGTGGAATGAAAGAGGTGAAACTTTTTTCTGCCCCACCCTGTAGAAAAGAATGAATTGCATAGGGAAAAATATGATATCTTAAGTCATGCATGGGTATTTAGGAGGTGATGGGGGCTCAGCATTGAGGCTGTTGAATTATGAGTTGGAAGGGGACCTCAAACCCCCTGAGGCCTCCATCCCACTGTTGTATGGACAAAATAAAAACATGTTTAAAAAATTCATTGAATTCATTAAATTAAATTAAATTTTCTTCCTGAATTGTACCTAAACTTGGATTGTCTTGATGCATTAATGCTCATCATTGTAGAATTGCTGGCTTCATGAGGCATTGCATTGTGCTGTATTAGCAGACATGAGTTTTGACTTTCTAATGACATTTTTTATTTATCAGGTTTTTAATAGATTATGCAATTAGTTTCCTACTATTTCCAATAATCTAAAAATTGTGCTCCATAAAGTGGGAAATGAGGCAAAACAAAAGTTTGAGAATTTCTGTTTTAAGTCAAGTGTGGAAAGACATTTCATCTGGTGACTTTTTTTAGTGTCAAAATGATGAGGAAACAGGGGCGATTTGGAGGCATCGTTACTGTGCTGTGACTGATGAAGATTTTTTGATGTTCAATGTGGTTCCTTGGACACCTGAGGCATGGACTGCCCCATCCAATATTCTTCCTCTCATTACAACAAGGTAAGTCTTGAGTTTTATGCCAGTTGCTTTACCAGAGGTTGCACTAGGATTCTTGCCCTGGCCTCCTGCCCATACATCCTGGAGGTCCTGGGACCCCCAGGACACATAGGCAGAAGGCCCAAGACTGCTAGATTGAATATCATACTGCTTGGTTATGTTAAGTTGGCAAATACACATGGATTGCTGGACTTTTCCTTTTGGGGAACCCTTCAAGATTCCCTTGTGTTTCACTTGGAAAGTAACCTCCTTAATTATCAGGGGACCCTTCCATGTCAGACTTGAGGGTCCCAGGGACCCTCAAGTCAAGAAGTCAGGGCAAGAAACCTAGTGTAACCCCTGTTTACCATGCATATTATAGCACCTAGGCTTGTCCCAGCTAACAGCTACATTGCCTTAGAAAGTCCAGAAAAAGTGACTCCCATTTTCAATGTACTAGTATTTTCTGCCTGCGAACAGTTTCCATGGTGAATTTGGTGTGATATGAAGGAATAAGCTTTACTACATTTGCTAGGTGTTCTTTTTTGGCATTAATCATATGCATAGTAAGAAAAGTAATTGTCAGGAAGTTCCTTGGGTTTTGTAAAAATAGTGATTCTGCTTTTTTACTTTATGAACTTGCAATGGATGGCTACTATGTCTAGTCTGTCTATAGAGAAGTTTCACATTTCATCAGCATGGCTGAACATACAAGCTACAGATTCTGAGTGGTGACATCTGTGGGAGTGAACAAGGTATTTTGGTAATTCTGCATATTTGATTAAATGGCAAAGTGTTGCTAAATAGCTAAATTAGTGAAGATATGTATAATGAGGCCAGTTCCTGAAGGCCCATTCTAATGTGCACTTAATCATTAGGTCTAACTTATAGGCCTCCTAGCACACTCATCTTTCCTTTGATCAGCTATCTTTTCTTTCCATCATCAATTTTTAAAAATATTTCTTTGAATTATTTGATGTATGATGTATGATCCACTTCACACCTAGGCACTTACAGCAGTGGTTCTCAAACTCCCATTTAGTTCCAAAGAAGATCTGTATGTTCTGTGGTCAGTGGACCTCAGATTGAGAACCACTGACTTGCAGCAATCATACCTAGAGACATGAGTATGCTCTGGGTTGTAGAATCAACAGATACCACATATATAATGAGTTTTTTTACTCTAAAAGTAAGTCAGATTAGTATACTCTATATTTCACATAATCATTTAACCCAGTATTAAATCAAATATAAAGTATATGATTCATGCATTATGTAACACAATCATGTATGATTATAGTATTTTTCACTTGAGTCAGACCAATTGTTCCAAAAGAAGTCTGAAGAGCCTTCCAGAGCAGTTTAAAATATCTTTGATATTTTGCTGGGTATATTCAAAATCAATTTTAACAGCACCATGTGGAGCTTGGAGATCAATGAAAAGTCATATTGATCCATGCTTTTTTTCACCACTGCCATATGTAGGATCCAAGGAGATGCATAATACCTTTCAATAAATCCAAAATGTTCACCTTAGTTGTGACACATAAAAGCACAGAGACAGGATGGCATCTAAGCTTTTTTTGTTCTAATGCATCAAAGTTTCACAATCTTGTCTTTTTTGCAAGTTTGTGGATATTGCTAAATTGCTTGCTTGCAGAAGTTGCAACTGTCTCATTGACAGCATTTATTTTGCATCCTGCTATAGTAGATAGTTTGTAAAGTGGTATAAACATACATTCTGGATTTGATGGAAGGAGCATGCTATTCATGGATACATTTATACTGGATTGAAGATTTTATGAATAATCTACTCTTCAAAATGTAATTTTTTAGGAGGAGGCCTTGAATTAATGCCAACATCCCCATGATTACAATGCCCCTTAGTATTTTCTAGCTAGAACTATTTCAAGGAGCAATACTTTTCAAAAGCACATCTCCATCCAGATCCCAACATCACAGTTCTTGCTGGCACAACTAACAGGAAGTGGTGTTTTGTCAGGAACAGAGGATTCTTGCACTGGGAGGATGCCCAGCTTTGTGTACTGACATACTAATATAGTGAGCTACTACACTGTTTTCGGATTGAATTGGTACCCCCCTACTGTGGAGAACAGAGAAAACACAAGCTTTCCAGATGATCCTCAAGATGTCAAGCCTGATGCTCCACATGGTTGTTGGATGGTTCTACTAATACTTCACCTTCCTCCCACAAGGTGTACTGCCTATACTTGATGGAAGCGCTCCTAGGGGGGGTACCAATTCAATCCGAAAACAGTGTAAGATGTGAATTCTGAATACGTAAAAAAAGAAAAAAGAAAAAGTGACATTTAATACTTTCTGCAGGCTACTTAGCAGACTTGCCTAGTTGAAAATTGTGTACTCCATTATATCATATTATCTCAATGTTCCTTGAAAATGAAATTGCTTCAGCAGTTCGAAACCAATGACATTATATCTAAGACTTGGAAACAAGCCATGTACACCCTACCCCTCAAAGTGATATCTGAATTGCTTGGCCATGGAAGGGTTGAGAAAGAGAATGTGAGCATATTTGCTAACTCTCAGCATAGCACCTTTGACTCACCTGCTATCTGCTCTACTTCTGCCAATGCTATAGTTAGCACAATGGCAGATTTGCATAATATGTGGATTTCTTTTAGGCAGTGCTATTTTCTGGAGAAGAGTATATGCTGATCATGCAAGTGCATTTGGGAAAGGGTTGGGAACAGTTTGCATGATGCAGAGGTTTCCCAGGATGTTTTGGACATTCCTTAAATCAGCATTTGAAACATTCAAATTCTTCATGAGAAACTCTTGTGCAATGCATGCTGCCTCCCAGCACTTTTCTAATTGCATTTGATGGGTCAGTGCACTACCTCCTTCAGATAATATTATTTTATACAGGAAATGCATAAAACATGCATAACTGCTTTGATACAACCAGTAACATTCATCCAAGAAGGGCAGGTGATTCAAGGTATCATTATTGAAGCCAGTCAAAGTTTACCTGTATCTCACTTATTTCTGTGCTTGTGCAGTCAAAGAATTCAGTGACCAGCTTTTTCCAAAGTCCAAGACCATATATGTTTCTACTCAGAAGTTTCTGTAGTTTAATGAAATCTTAAGGCAACATGAAGATGATTAGGGAGAGTGTTCCACCCAATTTTCAACAAGATAAGTACTCAATTCTAGTTTACTCATAGGAAGGATTCAAAATTGCTTCCAATTTCTTTTTGGCAGACCCTGTATATGCATGTACTGTCAGTGGCACAGGCATAGAATCATGTACACTAGTGGCCAAAATTGTGAAAACACTTGAGAAAAGGCAAATTATCTACATAAGAAAAATATTGTCATTATTTGGGTCTCATTACTACATTCAATTTGATTGCAGTCACTGATAATTAAGTGGTAGTACTTTTAGGAGTGACATATTTTCAGGGTAATCAAAATATATGAAATGGGCCTATGATGCAGAGTATATTAAAAAAATCAATTATTAGTGTCGTATAACAAAAGAAACCTGTATAAATTGTTATGTCAAAGATTCTCTTACAATCACATTTTTATAGTAACAGACACTATTCAATGCAATAACTTATTCATTTAATTAAACTATGCTCTGTTTAGGTTATACTCAATTAATGATACACTTAGGCATTTAAACCATTACCTATTAATGCAAATAATACATTTATTTTGAAATATTTACCTGTTGCAAAAATCTCTGATTATCTTCAACACATTGAATTACATGACCAAACAACATATTATAACCACTCTCCAGCTAATAAAAAATCAAAATATTGTCCTCACTGTGATAACTCTAACCAGGAGTACCATATTTTAGATACTGTGAATACTGCAATATTTTGTCAAGTGTATCCATAATTTTGGCCTCTAATATAATGGTTTAAATGCCTGCTTATTGGCTATTAAAACATATGTTACTTTATTGTATAGTGCCTGCTACTATTAAGAATGCAAAATTATGTGAGAAAGCAATATCAAAGATTTTCAAATAATACAGGGTCTCCCACTTATCGCGAACGATTTTGATCGCGTATAAAAATCTTCCTACTTGAGCAAACTAAACTAAATTTTCACAACATTTAGACAACTGTTTAGCATTTATTGTGATAAAGTTTCAACGAAATTAAATGCACCAATTACAAGCTATGAACTTCAGCATAGCCCCCATCAATTTCAGCACTTTTTCCAATCATTTGTGGTATTCAAGCAGCGTTTTCTCGCACATTTCAGCAGTAATGTCTACAAACGCAGTGGTAATTCATTCCTTCAGTTTGGGAATTTCCCTCTGCTTGGTCGCATAGTCTTTCGACTTGACAAAGCCCCACATGAAGAAATCGCACGGCGTTAAGTCAGGAGAATTGGCCGGCCGGCGCATAGCTGGCGATTTGGAAACTTTTTTCAGCCAGGCACGAACTTCTTTGCCAAAATGAGGTTGGGCAGGCCAGACTTGATGCCGTGCAACTTCTTCATGTAGGGCTTTGTCAAATCGAAAGTCTACTCGACCAAACCGAAGGAACGAATTACCGTTGCATTTGTAGACATTACCGAAATGTGCAAGAAAACACTGTTTGAATACCACGAACAATTGGGAAAAGTGTTTGAAATCGATGGGGGCCACGTTGAAGTTCATAGCTCGTAATCAGTATATTTGATTCGGCTGAGATTTTGTTTAGTTTGCTCAAATAGGAAGAATTTTATACACAATTAAAATCGTCCGCAATAAGTGGGACACCCTGTACAGGGTGGGCCAAAAGTTTTTGCCCCTGTATAAAAATGTGAATATCTCCTGAACGGTTTGGGCTACATAGTCGAAAAAAAAAAACTAAAAGAAAGTTCATTTCATCCTCTTTCTGAAAATATATGGCTTTTAGGTTCCTACATTCATTTGGAGATGATAATTGCTCCCTACCTTCTTTCCCTTCTTCATAATGTGAAGGATGAAAATTTGAAGACTTTGATGCTTGATTTGGATAACCGACCAGCAGAAGATCATGACGAAGTTAAACGGCCTCCGGTGGTCTACTGCGCGCGTTGTGCTGAGTGCTCGTCTTTGCAGTGTTAATTTTTTTTTATTTTACCTTTTTTTTAAACTCTTATTCAGAAAACCTTACAGGGAAAATTGGTCACAGCGTCAATGTTTTCTGGCGTTCTTGCTCTTCTGGGACGGCCTGTGACTGGAAGACGTTCAGCACTGCCAGTTTCATACAGTTTTCGCAAGATATCGCAGTCTTTTTTTTTCTTCATTTTCGATCGGGATATTCACGCAAGATTTGGTTCGAGGTAAATCCTTTTTCTTCACGAAGCGACCAGATTAAAACTCTATCACTCTCAGTTAGAACACGGTTTGTACCCATTTTCCCTGTAAGGGTTTCTGAATAAGAGGTAAAAAAAAGGTGAATTAAAAAATTAAAAAACTCCCGGAGGTCGTTTAACTTTTGTCACGAGCTTCTGCTGGTCGGTTATCCAAATCAAGCATCAAAGTCTTCAAATTGTCATCCTTCACATTATGAAGAAGGGAAAGAAGGTAGGGAGCAATTAGGAAGGAAGAAAACGACGGCGCGCGCGACCTTGAAGCCAGCTGCTGAGGATGATTTCCGTGGGCGGCACGGTATAGTTTCGTTTTGGCAACTTTTTTTTTCGGTAGGTTTTTTTCAAACGGCCATGACTCATCTCCAAATGAATGTAGGAACCTAAAACCATACATTTTCAGAAAGAGGATGAAATGAACTTTCTTTTAGTTTTTTTTTTCGACTCTGTAGCCCAAACCGTTCAGGAGATATTCACATTTTTATACAGGGGCAAAAACTTTTGGCCCACCCTGTATATTGCCTACTTTTGTCATATGACACTAATAATTGGTTTTTTTATATACTGCATGCATATTACATTTATTATAGGCCCATTTCATTCACAGGGTGGCCCAAAAGTTGTGCACCATAGGGAATTACACTGTTGGCCTAAATTAATTCTTTTTCTATATTTTCAGGTGTTGGTATTTCAGGTATTATGATTGTTGCAAAATTAACAAGAGATGAGCAGGTGTAATTGATAATAATACAGGGAGTAATCATTATTATCATTATCATTATAAGATTTAATATAGTCCAATAGTGAAGTCCCTTATGGTGTGTTACTTTTAGGCCACCCTGTATTTTGATTTCCCTGAAAATATGTCACTTATGAAGTACTATCGCTTAATTATCAGTGACTGCAATCAAATTGATTTTATAATGAGATCCAAATAATAATGACAATATTTTTCTCAAGTAGATAATTTGTCTTTTCTCAAGTGTTTCCTCAATTTCGCCACCAGTGTACATGTATATTGTTTGAAATATTTTTTCTTTATTCATCTTCAATGGTTTATTCAAAGAGTCAAGGGCCTGTCCAACATATATACTCATATAATAGATGCAAGATTCCAAAAATGCTTCCAAAAAATAAGTCCTTCAAGGAGAGAGACCATTTTCACACTGATGAGATAGAATATATTAGACTTTTCATATGAAACTTAACATTAGCATTGAAAGAAACATCAAATTAAATCGGGGTCAGTAAAAGTATTGATTGACTTTTCAGTCACCCTTTGTTTTGCACTTCCTAGGTTGGTGCAGTCATCACGTGCTGAGCAAGACTGGAACATTTTCACAATTCGAACAGGGAAGAAGGAGGGTATTGAATCATTTGATTTCCGATGTGATACACATCGGGATCTTGCCAATTGGGCACGAGCACTTGTCCATGGAAGTTACAATGCTGTCAGTAACCTACAGGAGTTCTCATGCAGTAAGTCACTCACTTCATCATCTGTGCAGTGCATGAAGGAGGACTGAGGAGTAGGGTATCAAATTGTGACTCCTGACCACAATGTTATATTTTTTTCAGCATGTACATGGGAAGGGAAGCCAGCCCGACTGATCATTGGTCATGAAACTGGCTTCAAGCTTGTAGAAAGTTCTGGTTCAGACAACGAGGAAAATATGATTGTTTTGTGGAAGCATGGCTTTGAAGATCTTAGAGCCTCAGCTGATGACAATCTAAGGAAACTGTATCTCCACTTTGTTGGTGAACATCAGCCTCAAGTGAGTTGCTTTTTAAAAACCTAATGCTGATGAGAAGTTAAGGGCCTCATAGCATTGATAATTTGAATTGTGATGATTTAGATCCAATTGAACTAGAATTTTCTTTAAGTATGCAGGAGGATATGTATTTTTCTGCCTTAGCTTCCATGGGACTATGCTTTCCCATGCTTGCTCCTTTCACTTTTATGGGATCTATTAAGTCACTGTGATTATGTATTGAATGTCTCTGCTTTGCATAAGTCTAGCCTGAAATATGTTGCAGTTCCTCAGAAATCATTCTTTGAAAGTTTTGCCATATATGCTCAATCCAAGTATTAAAATAATTACTAATAATGATGCATATTAATATATTCTCCATTTAATTGCACTTAATTGATTTCTTGATGGAATTCCTCAGCTGGATATTAGAGTTTCATTGACTATGAGGGTTATTTGACAATAAGTGAGAATCTCAATTATGTGCTAATGTGCGGCAAGGTTTAACCTATAACAAAGCAGCCTTTCATATCTGAAGGCTGCAGGTCAAGTTTGAGCTCGGTAGCTTGCTCCCATCAGGAGATATAGTATTCAAATTAAAACCATCTTTGGAAAATGGATGAAAATCTTGTCATTGAGCAGTGTGCAGTGATCCGATATTCAATGCGGAAGGACAAGAATGCGATGCAAATTCATGAAGAGCTTGTCAATGTTGACCAGGTCAATGCTTTACCATACAGTACAGTCGCACGCTGGATCAGTCAAGTTCATTGTGGTCAGCAGTCATTCGAAGGCCAACCATCCAATGGGGTTCCAACAACAGTGACCACCAACAAAAACATGGCCACAATCCCATGGATTGTGATGGCAGATAGAAGAATGAAAGTGCACAAAATAGTGGAGACATTGGGCATCAGCACTGAATGTGTTAATTTCAATTTGGACGACAAATTGGGCTTATCAAAGGTCTGCACTTGATGGATCCCCCAATTGCTGTCAAATGAGCAAAAGCAGAATTGGGCCCAGTTGAGTTTGGATCTCTTACGACGCTTTGACACGTATCTGGAGAACTTTCACACCAGATTAGTGATTGGGGATGAAACCTGGGCCTGAGGCAAAATAGCAATCTATGCAGTGTACAGAGAAAGGAAAACAGCCAACAGTCAAGGCACGTGGTCAAATCAGCAGGGAAGGTCATGCTGACCCTCTTTTGGCATGCAGAGGAACCTTTGCCTGCCGACTTCTTGCCACCAAAGATGATGATCCCTGGCCAATATTATGCCTACATTTTGTCCAGATTGTGCACAGCGATCAAAGAGAAACGTTGCAGCAAATTGAAGAAAGGAGTACTGCTGTTGCACAACATTGTGCCACCACACAAAGCCCACATTATGCAGCAAGCTTTGGGTGAATGCAAGTTTGAAGAACTCTCTCATCCACCATGCTCGCAGGACCTGGCCCCTAGCGACTTCCATGTGTTTTGATGTTTGCAATCAGATCTCAAAAGAAAAAGATTTCCAACTGATGAAGTGCAGGAGGCTGTGATGAGATGATTGGATAGCATGCCTTTGGAATTCTGAACCACTGGTGTAAACAAGTGTAAAGAAAGATGATTGAAGTGTAGTAGCATTAATGGTGATTATGTTGAAAAATAAATGGTAGTTAATGGCTCAAAGTGCTTCCTTATTGAGATTCTCACTCATTGTCAATCTACCCTCGTATTTGCAATGCATGGAATTAGACTATTGCCACAGATAATTCCTGCTATTAATTTCAGCTACTAACTTCTATCTCACAGATAATATTATTGATTGGGAATTTCTTCTAAAAGTAGTTTTTATTGCTTTCCCACTAAGGTTGCACAATTCAGTTTTCATCTCCATTGGAGCAAGCAGTGAGCTTGAGTTGACAATATTTGAAGCTTCAGATCAGTCATTTTTATGTGTAATCTTGGGGTTTTCATGTGTGGGCAATTGAAGGGGCCCTGGAAGTTATTGCTTTTTCGCATTTTTTCCTCCTCCTATTCTAGGAACTAGATTTGGAGACGTGCCCAAAGCCAGTGGTGTTTTTGCTCCATAGCTTCCTTGCAGCCAAAATCCAGAGACGGGGGCTGAATGCATCTGGGAAGTCATGACCCATCCAGTTTATGTCACAATCAAAGCATCCCCATTAGGAAGAGTTTGTGCTACCCTTGCTATCTTTAAGAAGTTAATGTTCCTAGCTGCAGAATGTCATGCTGACAATCAAGTTTTTGCAAGGGCTGTCACATTCACAGTTTTGAAAGCATCAGTGGATTGGTGAACTATTCATGGTCCATTGATGTGTTGACAAAATATGTAGTCATTGACAATGGCAAGTAATGGAGAGAGAAAAAAAAGAATTTTATCATGGTAGAAGATGTCAGGCATGTTGAAGAAGTGATGAAGTCCATGGTCTATTCTTTACCATTCCACAATTACATGAAAATAAGGGCTGGAGGCTGCAAGTCCAAGTAGATAGGAGCAACAAATAAAATGAGACTGCTCCAGAGACTTCTATTATGTGGAAGGTTTTTTTTTTCTCTCTCTCTCTCTCTCTCTCTCAATTCCTAGGCTCTGTGGAGTTCCATCATGACTCATGCTTCTGTTAATTTTTTATTCTGACAGTTTCCTTCTCAGTTTACAAATGTATGATGATGTCTGATAAAGCCATTGATGGCAACATAAAAGCATCAATGTATCATGACAGCCCTATTTTTGCCATGTTTTTTAGTCTTTATTCAGTCTGGAAGCATTAACAGTGGACGAATGAAAAATAAGTAATCCAGAATTCCAATTTCAATTGCCATTTGTGCTGCATAGAACCCTTATTGGCAAAGGTCAAAATTCCCTTGGCATAGTACCAAATAGACACTATCATGTATTTTAGTTGAGTCCACCAGTTCTTTACCTACTTATGCAAGGTAGGCCAAAGTCTCATATTGACCTCATGCTCATATACAGGGTAGCTGCAATAAAAACCAGGGCATTAGACAAAAATTTTACTCTAAGAAATATACTGCACCAAAACTGAAGGAAATCTGATGTACAGTGTCTTCAGAAATACATCATATATATTTCTGAAGTGATAATCCTGAATACTTCCATTTCAGACCATATGCTCAAGGTGACCTCCCTTCTGAGTGACACTTCCTTTCAAGTTCTAAAATCAGATATGGTCAGTGACCCTGTCAATAATTGACTGTAAGATTTCATCCCATACCATCACTATTCTGGCCTTTGACTCTTGCAAATTTGAGATTTGTGCTTCCTTGTAGATATCCTGCAGAGATTCCTAGACAGTGAAGTCAACTGGTTTGAGATCTAAGCTGTGGTAGGCATATATTTTCCTCCATGTAGTCAGGGAGTTATGGACATTAGAGTATAAGTAATATGGAATCAGTTTTGCAGTATGAGCAGTAGAATCATCTTTCTGGAAGGAGTACCTATTGCCTGAAATGTGGCTAATTATCAGAAGAAAGCCATTCTAAAGCACTTGGTTCTGATAGTATTCTGAATTTGCTTTTGCTCCTTCTTTGATGAAGACATTCTTCACTTAAAGTCAGCTTTTGCAGCCACAACTTCCTGGAAGAATTTTATTGCTATATAAGTTGTCCTGGAGTCATTGTTGTCTTGAGTCTTGAAAGGAGGTTGCAATTTTATCAACTTGGATACCTTTTATCTTGTACACTTGGCTTAAATGCCTTTCAGTCACATCGCTCAAGGCTCATTGTTTTAGTAAGACATCTGGTGAACTTCCATCCTCTTAATGACATTGAAACTCAATTCTTCCTGATATTGAAAGCTGCTTCAAGGAATTCCTGTTCATTTATAAACCTCATGAATACTAAGATGATTTCATTCAATACAATTTCAACGTGTTCCATGTCTTCAGCCATCTGATTGTTTGAGGTCTACCAATTCCTTCCATCAAGTCAGTATTGCCTGTCACATCAGTTTTGGCAGGAATGTGCTCCAAGCTACTTTTTTCTCTTAGGTTCATTCTGAAACTCACTCCTCATTTTATAAACACCCTGCATTTTCTCCGACAATAGGTTTCATGCAAGAGCAAGGTCTGCTATACTGTAAGATGGCATGGTTTTTAAGACTTATGCTCCCAATCACACCTGATTTGAGACGATAAAATAAATGCAAAGTTCAATTAGGGAATGGACCTGTACAAAATATATGAAAGGTCAAAATGAAATTGTCTGATACAATCAAGGTGCTCAAGGAAAGATCCATGTCCTGATTTTTGATGGGCTACCCTGCACATGCAGGCCTGAAGTTTATCCTAAAGCTACATCTCAAATTTACTGCAAGCTTCTGTGGAAGGGTAGAAGATCTTGGATCTATGGGCTTTCTAGAGTAGCATGCCCTATGTGCATGGTGTATTCAGGAAAAATGCATTTTTTTATTTATTTAATATACAACTTTTGGTGTAAGTAAGGCCTTTATCAGGAATCCATCATGCTCTATTGCTGGGAAAGATTCATTGTGACAATGTATAATTTGAGTCTTAGCAACATGTAGCAGTATAAGGTGTCAAGCAATTATTGCTGCTCCTCCTCCCCTGCTGCCATTGATAAATCTTGGCAATGCTGAGTGTCATGCTACATGCTATACCTGAAAAAATGTTCCTGCTTTCATCAGCCAGACAACATTTTTCCTCACTTTGTCCTCCCAATTTCCAAATATGCAGCTTCTACCTAATAAGGTCTATGCCAAGATGCTGAGGGATGGAAATATGCACCAGGTAGGGTAGTAGGTAGAAACTCATGCTAGTGGTACGTGCTTATGTATTAAGCAGAAACTTGCAAGGGGTTGGGCATTTGTACATGGGAGAGGTGTTTTTTGCTTTTCACTTGCTGGGCTATTAGCTTTTCACTCAGGAACTGCAAAATTGCTTGCCACTGGCAAGGGGAAATTTTACATGCCTGCTTTATGCCAAAATGAATCTTATTTCAGTCTCTCTTTCAAATAAAATGGCCAGTATGATTAGTGACAGTGAGGCACTTAGTTGAGAGAATTTTTCAATGGCAGCAATGTTCTACATTTATTCAAGGTACAGAAGCCATTCTCATCACCAGGACTTGGATAGCTTATTCTGCTCATATTCAAGTTATTTGTAAAGCTGCTGTGGGCTACATTTCTTATTTAAGTGATGAAAATTGTATTTATTTGAGAATTGAAGACCATTTGATTTCATTTCTTTACTCATCTCAGTTTTGTTTGTAGGGAGAGCAGCAGTCATTGTTTGACACCCTGTATATTGCTTATGTCAGGTGGCCTTTATGGTGTCAGCTCACCCTTTTGAATGACATTCTATAGTCTGTACAACAAAGGTCATCATCTCTACAGTAAGTGTAATAAAAAAAATATTGTATTTGTCATCCCTGACTCAAAGTGAGTGTGAGCTGAGGTGCCCAGTGGCAAGTGCCAATCGTGGCCATGAATTGTCTTAAACTCAAAGTGTAATGTTTTGCTTCTTCCTAAAACTGAATTACAGGTAAAGGCAACACTTGATTGGGAAAGACCCAAGGTTATGTTGCACTGTGCAACGGAATGGACTGTGAGGCAGATTTGCATTCTCATTTGTATTTTCTTCCTGGAAGATATGGTGAAGTGAAGAGTGGAGTGGTGTCTCACATGGACAGCATGATAGCTTTTGTAAGCAAGTGTTCACATGATTGTTGGCACTTGTTCAAATATTTCATGAAAGAAATTTATCTTGTGAAGTGAGGGATATGCAGTCTTACACATTAGATCTTTGACAAGACAGATCAGAGGTTGATAGTCACAGTCCTGTTAGTTTCCATGAGGCTCTGCTAGGGCATGTGGACAGTTTCAACCCCCTTTGTGTTCATGCTGTTGGGTTAAAACAGCTGTTGAACTTAATTCTGCAAGCCCTTTTTATTTGCTCATTCTCCACACCTCATTGCATCCCTTCTGAACACCAGGGAGCCAAAACCACTGAGCAGTTGCTTGCAAGCAAGAGGAAGATAAGAGTGGCTTTGGTGCTCTAGGCAATAAAGGAGTTATTAAATTTTTTATTCATTTCATTTCATTCTTGATAAGATTCAATTTTATCATCAGATCATAAAATGACTTGCCTCTCTTCACCCATCTCTAATCTCTACTGGATATCACAGGCCCCTTGTATCTTGTACCCAGGTCCACTCTTGTTTCTCCATTCCTCTAGAGTATCAGTCAGGATCCCTTTCTTGTTGTTGTCAGGATCATGCTAGTAGTGAGGTATGAAGGCTAAGCAAATGAGGGTCTTGCAGAATTAATCCTTTCATTGTTGTACAAAAAAAGTATCAGCCATCCATAAAAAATTGGGATTTTTTACCTGGCACTAACTGGCAGAATAAGGTTGGAATTTTTCTATCTGTATGACTAACCTCAACTCTCATAAGTGACTTGTATCTTAGTTTTGCAGCTCATCATTCCAGTTGTGGATATTTCTGGGATGTCCAAGGTATCGGCACTGCATAAGAGGTGTTTGTCATTCATGCCCTCCATGAGATTAAACATCTTCAGAGAAAGGATGAACCATAGGGAAGAGGCATGAAGGTTTCTTATCCAGACAACTTTAAGTTTCATGTTGAACATTCATGATTGCAGGCCATTAATCACTTGCACTCACATTGAAACAGAGAAGCTTTTTTCTATTGGTATCATGGAGTCACCTTCTGTTTTGGTGGTTGAAATCTCTTCATTTCCAAAGGTGTCTCGGTGATGTTCATGGAAAACAAATCACTGATTTGGTTATTATTAGTTCTATCTTTGTATGAAGAAATCTCATCTGTACTTTCACGTATTCTTTTATCTTAGCAGTTCTTCAGACATACTTTTATATGAATGCCTTCATCTAGTCATCTATAAAGTGCTGATGCTTTCAAATTAGTGGCTGTGTTATATATACTATATTACAAAGAATATTATTTAGTGATATATTTTAGTGATTGTCTTCTGTTGAGCAACACCTTCTGTGAGCATCCACCTCAAGACTTCTCAGAATCTTTCTCTTTTCACCTGAATCTGAATGGTGTTTCCTGCAGCAATCCTAAGTAAACACTTTTAGATGGGCAAGATTTGAGGAATTTCTCAGCAATAAAAGGGAAAAAACATTGTTCCACAAAGTTGTTGTTTCTTAGATTGTCATGTCTTATGACAGTGACTCTTATGTGATGAAAAAAAATTCTAAAAGCTGCATCATGTTGAACCACTCTTCCATTTGACCATGTTGCCAATATGAAAATTTCCTCCTGTGTCTGTAGCTGAAATAGCCCATTCCTGTAGACATTTTGTTTTTGTTTGCATTCCTGTCTGATGCCTGATCTTTCACATATAATGATCAAGTGGATTAATGCATTTCAGGATAGGATGAAGTAGCATTTACATTATATGAAATTATATGGCCTTCATCCAGGGTGATGCAGAAAAAGGCTGTTGGTGAAAAGTGATCTACCATGCATTTTGAACATTTCCTTAAGAAGGATTGTGGATTTCATTTTTTCAAGAATACTTGGCAGTTTGCCATGTCATACAATACACTATGCCCTGTTACTATTATGATTGGAGAGCATATTTATCTAACCTAAAAACTGCTCAAATATGGTAATAAAATATGGTCTAAAATAGCCAAGTGGGACTGAAACTATGATTTAATATTGCAATCTTGTTTGGTTAACAAACCAAGATATTAAATGATGGTGGATCATAAAAAATTGGGGATGTGTTATAAATACTTTAACCTGAAACAAATTACTATCAGGAAGTATGACTTATTAGTGTCTCATGAGAGCCAATATCAGTACTTTGTGCAATAATGCATGTATCTTGCAAGATATAGTGACAAGTTTATGCTGGTTAACAATGTCTCTTCAATGTGCTGTATATTAGCATCACTCCTACACTTTGTGACAAATTTCTCAAGATGCACTCACACCATGCTTCACATGACTTAAAGCCTTCATTGCTCAGAAATTTCATGCCAAAACAAAGCTCCAACCTGTATATGTTATCTGTATCACCAATCTTGATAACTGCTTCAAAAGTATGCCTTTTTGCACATACACATGCCTTTTAATAGTAATTACCAATATTCGCATTCATGAGACACTAATGGATTTCATCCTCCAAATTATATGGCTTTTTGGTACTTGCCATCACATGCAAGGCAATCCTAATTTCTTTCTGATTCACCCATGTTGGTCCCACATTAACATGAGTGAAAATCAAATGCCATGTTGATCGTTGGGTTGCACTCTTTCTTCCTCTTGTGTTCACCTCAATTGGCTGCAAGAAAAAAAGCCAATCATCATATTTGGTGCATTCAGGACTGGAAGGTGCCATGATATTCATCAGGTTTCAATTGCATGTCTTTTAACACTTTCTGAACAATACGACAACATAGCCAGCTCTCTTTTTTTCCCACTGGGCAACAGGATGCATAGATGTCCCAATTTCATTTATCTTTATTGCTATAAATTTTGCACCAGCTGGTAGGGGAAGCATCAATTCACAGAAGAGTAAATTCATAACCTACTACCATTTGATGAAATGCTGAAGTTTTCATTAAATAGATGAAAAACTATAGTTTGTTATGGCATCTTTTGCCCAGAAACCATTATCAGGGAAGTGTTAAAACTCAGGTACAGTCTCAAATGAAACTTAAAGGAATACACAATAACTATTTACCTTTCTATCAGCCAGCAATGAGCTCTCTAAGTTAATATCACCACAATCCATGCTCATTCTATAGCCAAGAGAAAAATAGTTTTCCCACCCTCAGACTCCTTGAGTCTGTGGCTGAAGCAGCCAGTTTCAGGGTTTAAAGTCATTCTTTCATTGCTATAAAATAGACAATCTTTCTTCCTTTGCCTTCCTGTCCAATAACCATGATTCTTGGTTCTTGGTGCAAGTTGAGATGTCAGAAGGCATTCTTGTGCATATTCTTCCCCTAAACCTTGAACCATCAATTTTCTCACCCTGGATGAGTCAATCTTCCTGGAGATCTTCGAGTGGAGGGTAAGTGGAAAGCTGTCTCCCCAGCTGCTCAAAGATCTGCTAGGAGACTGAACCTGCTAGTGTGAGAAAACTGATGAGTCTGTCTCATTTTTATGTTTTTTCATTAGATCCTTTTGTAACACGGTGAAGAAAATTGATAAAAACTTTCTTTCATCTTTAAATATACTGAAAATGATCCAGGAAACTTGAAATATATATGTTCTGCCATGAGAAAAGGAAGAATGGTGTATTACAACTTATGGCCAAAAACTTAAAAAAAATTAATAACTCTTGAACAAAGCAGTTTTGAACAAATCTCTACTGACATTGCACATATACAGGGTGATTCAAAATAATGTATAAACATTTTGAAAAAATGTATATTTAATACTTATTGCACTGAATAAACAAAACTTTGCTATGTACACAAGTGAACATGTGAAAACAACATAATATAGTCATCTTATGGCAAATGTTCTAAATGTTTTTTGGAGAACGCTTATACATGGTTATTACATTTTCCAACTTCACACTGTCTGTTTTCTTCTGCACTAGATTTTAATAACATTTGGACAGTTCCATGTTCTTCATATTTATCATGTATATGACTAATTGTTCCATATGTGGGAGCTGCTATTCCATACTCTCGCATCCAGACACGCTGCACTTCCTTTACATTTTCATACTTCCAGTACCACTTTAATATGTTCTTCCTTCATTCGAAATTCAACCATGCATCTGCCATGTTGAGGATAATTTATGTAATTTTTAATAATACTAATTAAAAAGTAATATTGTATGCCAGCAGATGCACCATCATTAGTTGTTATTACATTTACCATTGATGGTACAGTGACTCAAAGGGTGTATTCATTTTGAATCACCCTGTATATGACAAAAAATTTAGTTTTTAGACAATTAGACAAATTTTCACCTGATTTGGACACCATATACCTTGGACACCATTTGTGCATTGGACGTTTATTTATACATGGATGTTGAAGTTGAGGGTAAAAATTTTGCCCAAGTGAAAAACAAGTAAAACCCACCCTTGATCCCCTCAGAAAAGAATGGAACATTTTTCTTGAAACATTCTGGATGCCCATCACAGATTGAAGGGCCAAGTCTTCAAAGAGACCTTGAAGACTTTCTTACCCTTATCACTATTAAATTCTTAATGTATTAATTAAATAATTTCATCATCACAAGATGTCCTGTCTCTAAAAGATTCTCAGAGACTCTTCCCATTTCCCTGCTCATTGGCACAAATGTTTAGTCATCCAAAGGTCATCAATTTGAAAATCATCCAAATGCAAGTTCCCTGCTACTATATGGCATGTAAAACTATGTCTATGCTTTCAATTCATAGCTTTGCATGGCTCACAAATAATTCTATATTTGATGCCACTGAACATTATGACTGTCATGGTAACTGCCCTTGAATATATTTATTCAAAATGTGTTATCTGTATTTTGGCCACATTAGGAATCTACAATAAAGTACAGTATGTGGTGGAAAAATGGCTACACTCATGTCCAGATTTATAACTTCATCCAGAAGTGGAACTGGGCTGTAATAATTTTTTCTTAAGTAGAGGTTGGGTGATTCTTTATAAATAGTTCAGAGATTTTGAGATTTGTTCGCATTTAGTCACAATGGATTCCAAAAGAGAGTCCATCGTCAATTTGTCTCATGCGGGGAAGACCCCCACCGAGATTGCCAAGGCCCTGAACATCCACAGGGTTACTGTGTACAAGGTCCTCAACAAATTTAAGGCCACGGGCAGTGTCAAGAGGAAGCCTGGAAGTGGAAGGCCACGTTCAGCAAGGACTCCGGTGATGATCAGAGCGATAAAAGGAAAAATCTAGTGCAATCCCATCTGATCCATGAGGAGGATGGCCAAGGAAACGAATGTGAGCGAGAGAACTGTCAGGAGGATTGTCAAAGAGGATTTGGGAACCAAGTCAAGGGCCAGGGGAAAGAGGCAGCTCTTAAATGAGACCTCCAAGGCTAAGAGAGTAGCAAGAAGCCAGAAACTCCTCCAGATCTTCAAAAAGAGAAAACCAGTGATTTTCTTCACAGATGAGAAGCTCTTTTGCATCGACTGTGCCTCCAACAGCCGCCATGCCACTATATCAGCAATCAGAGGCCTGAGGATGTCCCTGAGCACATTGGGTTCACCTTCAAGACCAAGCATCTGGCCTCTGTGATGGTCTTTGGGCTTGTGGCCTCAGATGGTAAGAAAATGCCTCCGATCTTCATTGAACAGGGCCTCAAGGTCGACACTAAAGTGTACATTGACATACTGGAAAAGTCTGTCAAACCTTGAATCAAGTCCAACTACCCTCCGGACACCAACTATGTCTTCCAGCAGGACGGGGCCCTTGCCCACACTGCGAAGAAGACCCAGAAGTGGCTGGAGGTCAACTTTGTGTCCTTCTGGGACAAGGATATGTGGCCCCCCAGATCTTAATCCCCTGGACTACAACGTGTGGGCATTTGTAGAGGAGGCTGCCTGCAACAAACCCCACTCATCTGTGGCAGCCTTGAAGTCCTCCATCACGAAGGCCTGGTCCAACATGAAGGAGGACTACATCATCAAGACGTGCTCAGCCTTCAGAGGCCATTTGGAGGCTGTGATCAGGGCTGATGGTGCCCATATTAAGTAAAAGATATTATCAGATGTTAAATCAACTATTTATAATTAAATACATTTTTTGTAAAATCTCTCGTCATAGGTCTTCATGAGGTACATCCAGACATGAATGTAGCCATTTTTTTGCTGCATACTGTAAGCATGTGGGGGTGTTATTCCATTCCTATTACTTGATGATACATGCATGTAGCTCTCTCTTCCATGCAGGATTCATTGGTTTTATCTTAGTTATTAACACTCATTTTCCATGAGTTGTTAGTGCCATGGATATTCTGGAGGAAGCTTCAAAATATTCTTTACCCTATACCAAGGATATTTGGTCCACTCGAGAAAAGTGGTTCTTGGCTGCTGCTGTCATCACCAATGGGGAGAACTGGTAAGTTCATCTTTGCTACAATGTTGCCTACTTCACCTGTATGGCTCATCCAAGTAAAGCCAGTAGCCAGTACTCAGTAAAAACATTGGCTCAAAGATCTTCCTGAGGAGGTGTCAAGAAATGTGGAATCCACCTGGATGACACATTAGTGTCTTTTAGACAAATTTGATAAAGATCTGTTGCTGTTCTCGGTCTTTCTGAACACGTTGCATCAAAGATGTTCACCCGACCACAAGCAAAATGTTATTTCCACTACTTTCCTTGGTGTGCCATTTTCACCAAGCACTTCCATAGGCCATGAATTCTAGTAATATTCTCAACTTCATTCTGCTAGAATTTGATAGTGGCATGCCACTCATTGACCAAGTCCCTCATCATTACATCCACTGGTATGACTGTATGCACAATCATACCATATGAGTAGGGTTCACCTGAATCTTTCCTTCCCTGTATCCAATTTGCTTCCTGAAACAAGTGAATTTCCAGTGTCAGCCATGGATGCTGTAATGGACATTGCATTTGTAATGTTTGGCTTTCCTAAGGAATACTTTTTCCCATTTTGGTAAAAGAATACACCATGTGAAACCTATTTTTTTTTATCTTCATTGTTGATATAGTCAAGTATCTATTTCCTGTACTGGTTTTACAAGAGGAGGTGAAAATCTAAATGGTTCAATTTGTCATCATAAATAGATTTATTTCATTAATTGCTGGGAAGCAAAAATGAAACCATTGCAATTTTTTTCATCATTTAATGGATTCCAAGTGTTTTTCTTTGACTTCAGTATTTTTTAGGCAATGATACATAAGAGACATTAGAGGGCCATTACATTTCCATTTTAAGTGTTAATTAAATAAAGGGGCCCATGGGGCTAGTTTTTGCAGATTATGCATTATCCCAACTAGGACTTTCTGCATCAAGACACATGGTCATTGCCCACCCTTAGCTGCAGTTACTACTGATCTGAATTATTGTCAGTACTGTTATTGCAAAGGTGTAAGGGTAGCTGTGTCAAACTCTGGTACACTGCAGCTCACTTGCCTATCAAGACAACATAGCATTGCATGCAACCATGAGAGAAGAGTGTAACCCATGCACAATGAATTACCAAATGAAACCAAGGACACTGTTTTATGTACTCTCTTGAAACCTCATATGGTGACAGGCAGATTCTTTATACTTTTAAGTACACACCCCTCGAATGACTGGGAGATTTTCCAACAAAAACCATCAGTTGTTTCATTATTCTGATACTACAATTTCAGCAAAAGGTTTGTAATTTTCTTTATCTAATCAATTGAAATACTTTTTTTTCTTCTCATGATGGGGTGTGTCCCCCTAATCCTCCTACTTTGTTGCACCCCCATATTTGAGATTGAGATTCTTATTCATGAAATATTTGTCATCAGCTTTATTCAGATTGGTTTGGGTCAAGCATCATAAAATGAAAGTAATTAACATTCACCCACAAAAAAAGTTTGGTATATCCTAGGGCTTCAGTCAGTAGAGTGATGAAGGGCTGGGAAGCTGAAACCATTCTTGAACGCAGTGATGATTGGTACTCACCAAAGAACTGTGCTCGCCAGTACAAGGACCTTCTTGATGGAGTTGAGACTTCTGATGGAACTGCATCCAAACGAAGTCAACGTTACCAAGGAAAGACGCTGCAGGAGATCATCTATGAACAAGTGAAACAAGGTTTTCAAGAACAGAAGTGAATTTATATATTTTTATATGAGATTTTTCGCTAAAAGAATTAATGAGTCCTTATGTCTCTCATTTCAGATCAGTGCAAATACCTAGAACGCATGATAGTAGCTTCTAAAGGAAGGCTGGATGACATCAGAAAGGACTGTGAATCATTGGTGAAAGGTCTTGACTCTCACCAGCAGAGCAAGTATGCTGGGTACATACAGGATCTATTTCAAAAGAAATTTGCCTATCAAGAATGGCTTGCAGACCGTGCAGAGAAAAAGATTGCTTTGGAAACAGCCCGGTCTGCAAGGTTGGCTGCCATGCGGACGAAAGGGGCAATGCCTGCAGTTGTAGAAAAGGAACTTGAAGGTGTCTCAAATCTTCCAGCTCCCATTGCTGGCAAGCAAACAGAAGTCATCTCAGGGTCTCAGGTCTCCAATCCTGGATCCATTCCCATTCCTGATGTTCCACTTGCTACTTTGCAGGTTTGTTACATATTATTTCAGGTTCAAGAATGGATTTATTCTGAATACCAATCTGAAGAGTATGGTGACAAAGCACTTTAGCCTGTTGATGGTCCCATTTAAGGGATGGGTTAATTTTATTTGGTACTGGTGTTTCAGCCTTCCCAACAAATGCAGGAGGAAGACCAGTCTTCCCATGCAGTGGCCTCTTCTCTTAAAGGTAAGTTCCTGCATTTACCTTAAATTTTTATAATGGAATCATTGATGTAGATGGCTAACTACTTGCTGGCTATGTTAGTGGAAATTTGTCCAAAGGATGTAGATTTTGTTTGCTCCAGTACAGGGTATGCTCAATGCTCAAGTCATCTCAAGTACAGGGTGTTCCAAGAAGTGCCCATGCTGTTCAGGCAATTAAGGGCTTAGGTGAAGTGACATAAGATGGAGAAACTTGAGTGTTTGACCAATTTGACCACGAGGAAGCTGATGCTCATAAACATATCAGGTGTTCTTAGGAAGAACATAAATCAATTAGAATTATGCCACTATTATGTTGCATACCCTACAAGTGCAATGCCCAGGTCAGGTGATCATAATAATGATCCAATGTGGGCTCCTTTGAAGATCAGGATAGTCTCAAGGTACCACATTTCACACCACAGTGCATAACATTTCTTGAAGAATGAGGATTATTCCTTAGCACCTTTTACCCTTTTCAGTCCATTTAATTTTCCATGGGTAGCTCACCAGGTTCAAATTTGTTTCAGGTGTTGTACTAATATTTCCACCAGTGGTTTAAGCCAGGGCTTAAAATTGAATTTTGCATCTTGTTCTGTTCCACTTGATCCCCATGCATTCTGGTTTCTGTTCCAGGAAATATTTCCTTTTCATTGCATTTTGTTCTGTTCCACTATTCCACAGGGAAAATGTAGCACAAAAAAAAAAGACTTTTTTTCATACCTGTGATACACCAGAATATGTTTTCCCTTCAAACATCGCAATTGCAAAGAAAATATGGGCAGGGTACTTCAACAGGAAACTATTCAGTTTTTGGGACTGAACAATTTTGTTCTGTTCCAATAATTTTTTCTGTTCTCTTCCAGTTCACATTCTCTTTGGTTCTGAAGCCCTGGTTTGAACACAGCTAATATCGGAATATCAAAGTTTTACTTATAATATCCTAGAAACCCTCAAGGATGATATTTTAAAAGCACTCAGTGGGGTGCAGCCTGAGTTTTTTGCTCATGTAAAGGTATTTACCCAACCTTGTAAAGTTATTTTTAAATTATGAGTAAAACTTTGAGAATATACTTTTGTATATATTGTAAACTGTAAAACAAACTTTGTTTAAGTGTTAGAGTTAACACCCAGTTTACTGTTAAACACATTCACAGTTGTGTAAGTAAAATAATCTTACAATTTGTTTCATTTACACAACTTTGTACTGGGTGGCCCATAAGTAAGTTTACTGAAGGATTCTCAGCTGCATTATTTTTTTATTACTAACCTAGGTTTGTTATTTATGTTACATATTATTATTCTTAGCATTTTAGATCCCATTGATGACCATATTTGTTCACTGCTGAAATGCTCAGAGACTTGCCAAAAAGTGAAGGATTATAGCCTTTAGTTCATTAATTGGGTGAACTTACTTGAGGCTTACCTTGTATGTACACAACCTTACAAAAGTAACCACAACTTGACAAAGATAAAGGTCTTCCCCAACAGATGAAACACAAGACCCACTTTCCCACTGAGTGGTACAGGTGATAGCTGTGTCCTGATCCTCTGCCTTGTATGGCCCACCAGGTGGGACATAGGACTGGAATAGCAAATTAACTATGGCCCACCCAGTGGGACAGAGGACCAGAAAAGGTTAAACTCTGGAAATGGTTTATGGGGTATCTGGTCATAAGGGGTTTTTACCTCCAGTATAAGTGCTTCTGACATGTTGGTGGCACCATCATAACTTTTTATATTTGTATGCACATCAGCATGCATGGAGTCAAACCAATACGACACCTGATTTTACTCAAGCTACTTCTTTCTGTGTATGCTCCACAACTGCCTGGACAGTTAGAATGACTTTAGAAACACACTGAAATGGAAGCCTTCCTCATATTGGTCTTGTCAGCTTTTCCAGCTGAGCTGAATCTTGAATTTCCTGCTACAGTGATTGTGAGGCTGCTAGATTTACCAATAAACATCCCCAATGATCATTCCCTGATTTCAGTATATTGATAGCACATTGGAATAACAAGGGACACCTTCCTTCCCCTCTTGTACTTTCCATCAATCAATATATCAAAGCCATCGTAACTAGACTGATTCTGTAAAAAAAAAATGTATCACTAACCTTTAGTGGATGTGGTCACCTTCAAAGCACTCTCCTTCTGACTACACACATCCCAACGTCTTTGCCATGCCTGGAAACATTGCTGGAAATCATTTTCTGAAAGTCCTTTCAATACTGCCATCACATTGCTCTGAATGTCTTCAATTAATTCAAAATGAGATCCTTTCAAGGAGTTTTTCAGTTTTAGGAACATGAAAAAGTCACATGGGACAAGATCAGGCGAGTATGGGGGATGTTCCAACATTGATATTTGTTTTTTGGCCAAAGATTGCCTTACCGAAAGAGCTGTGTGGGAAGGCACATTTTCATGATGCAAAATTCACTTGTCTGGCCAAAGATTCGGTCTTTTTTGTCGAATTTGTGTTACCATAAACGTTCCAAAACCTGAAGGTAGAATGCTTGATTGACTATTTGTTGTGGGGGAACAAATTCGTAATGGATAATTCTTTTGATATTGAAAAAGCAGATCAACATCTTTTGCAAATTTCCAAGACACAGCCATAGTCCAATGTTGGAGACATAATGGTTCACTGTCACCTAGGATGCCTGTGTTATTTATTTTCAATTTTGCACATAATATTGTGTGATAAGATATCAAGGGTAGCTATTGCTCTTGGTCAGTCTCTGCTGGTTTTGTCTGGAGGTAGGGGAGCAGATATTTTGCATCACCCTGTATATAGCCTGTGAAGGTATTTACTTTGAAAAGTCATCACTAAAGCACTGAATGCTCTGCAATAGAAATTAAAGATGTTGGTCCACAAGCTTTTCAATATCCTGCTGTACTACACAGGCCCTAATTTCAATGAGACAGTAATAGTAGGTACTGTACAGAATGAAAAGTGAGTAGAAGAGGCAAAACTTACTGAGACTCATTTCATTTAAGGTTTTTATTGGAAAATCAGAACTTCCATGACTTGATATTTTGAGGGGTTCATGTATCATGTGTTTGTCTCAGGAGAAGATGCATCAGTTGCTCAAACAAGTGCACAAGACTTCCATGAGAAGAAAGGAGACTCAGTTGACAAGGATCCTAAAGATTCTATCACGAATAAGCAAACCCTGGAGAAAGAACAAGGTGTGGAAGTGATAACCCTTCCAGAAACTGCGGTCAAGATTGGTAAGGACCTTGAATGCCATTTGCAATAGTCCTACTTAGATACATGACATCCAGGCTGCTGCATGCATTCTCTTACCAAGGTCAAGACTTGTCTTCTTTTCTTTCACTTGGTTTTGCATCTCTGTACCTTGTATCTATGTTTTATATCTGTCTGCCTTCTCTCAATGTCCTGCCTCATATGACCTCATCATATTCATCAGCTTGATGGAGGCCATAGGTAAATTCATGCAGTCATCTGCTAAGTTGCCTAATTATGTGCATTATGTATTCACTTTTGACTAAGGTCCTAGGAGTGTTTTAATTTTCCACACATTCAAAGTAATGCAGCTTTTTTGATTACAGATTATCCTCATACATACCAGAATATGCACTATATATATCCAGAAGAATGATTGTTTTAACAAAACTTAGATGGTGAGATGAGAGAGTTTAATGCTACATGAATTATTGATGATTTTGAGGTCAAGTCTCATCATCTAACCATGAAAAACTTGGATGAAAGGGAAATCTTCAAAGAAAGTGTACAACCATACTGTGTGGTAGATAAGTTAGGCAGCTCTAATGACCTGCAAAAGGTTGCAGTGTTGACAACCACTTGAGGAGGTGTGACATGTATACTTGTCATGGAATTTCAGCCCCTCTTAATTGGTGGGTTTGATGAATGTACTTGTCTTGGGTCCTTGGTATGGAAAGAGTATACACTTCTGGCATATACTCTTTCCATACCATTAGAGTTTTAAGGGTGTGAGATGAATATTCACTGAGAAAGCTTGCCAAAAACTCCAAATTCAATAACACCCATGGAGTCACACTAATCTCTCAAAACAGTCACCTTTGAGGATTTTCTTGAAACATGGTTTGAAAACTCCTGAAAATATGTAGGAAATTGAGCTAAATTTTAAAATCAAGGGATGATGTGATTCAGAGAAAACTGTTGAATGCTTCAGGAATGGCTAGCATCCATATCCTCAATGCATACATCAGCCTTAAGCATGAAGCTAATGCATGCATCCAAATTAATCTACATCAATCATCATCATCATCATCCAGTTTATTCCTGATGAAGCAATAGCCATATCAGGTGCAATAGGAAAGAGACAAATTGTCACATAAACCATGTGAAGTTGGCAATGCCCTTTTACATACAGTACAGTCAAACTCAGTTATAACAACCTCGGTTATAACGACTAAAGCACCAGGTCCCATAAGGGACCCCATAAGGCACGTTACATAATACCTCGGTTATAATGAAGTCCATTGAAGGTCTCACAGACAAAATCGACAATGTTCATGTCCCTAATCCATCATTCTTAGCTGAAATGTCCATCATCAGAAAGATTAGCATTGGTGAACCATAGCTTTATATTCCCTGGATTCGGCATTCCTTGAGAGTCATGTGGGTGTGGCTGGAGCAATGTTAGGGAGGGATAATCCCCAGTAACTAAGATCACCTTATCTTTAGTTGCCATTTGTATTTCTCGTTGACAACATGGCCAATGAAAAATGAAAGAGGCAAGCCTTCACAATTGAAAGGAAAGTGTGCTTGATTAGTTTAATAGAAAGAGCTTGAAGTGAAGCTAATGTCGCTCGCGAACATGGACATCTGTTCATCTGTTTCCACAATCTGGGAAAATCGTGACAGCTTCATCCGTGCTTACGAGAACATGTCACAAAACAAGAAACTTCCTAGGTCTGTCGAGATGACATCAACGAAGCCTTCCTAAAGTATAAAGTAGTTCAAGGTTCAAAGAAGTGCAAACATCACAATTAGTGGGTCAATCTTGAAACTGAAGCTAGTGCATTATGACCAATGTAAACTGGAGTTGTAACGTTATATAGCATCAATTTTGAAAACAGGAAAACATAGTGCTAATAAAGGCAACCTTGGTTATAATGACAGTTTTTACCTGGTCCCTTCAATGATGTTATAACCGAGTTCGACTGTATATAAATGTAGTGCAACTTAAATGACATGCAACAAAACAGAGATGAAACTAGGAAGGGTGATCAATGTGTATGTAAGGGGTATGTCATGATTCATCTGCAGCATAGAAGGCAACTCTACAATGAGAAAGAAGTGGAATAATGCCTGTGAGAGATCATTGGAGAGGAAGGAAACATTTTCTAAGAATGCTACTTCCCCTTTTTCATCATATGACAAGGTCCAGTACATCAATCAAACATTAACAACTTATTGAAATAGCCTTCAGAAATGTCATCATACCACACTGCCTTGCAGTTAAACTTGACAACAGTCATATAGAGTAGTGGTTCAAGAGAAAAGGAATCTAGCTTCATGAATGGTGCTGCTCTCTTCCCCCATTCCTTAGGCATTCAGCAAGTTTTATCTGCATTGCTTCATCCCATGACTTGGAAACTTTGCTCAATTTTTCTACACACCTTCAGGAGTTTTAAAACCACAGTTCATTTTAAAGTCTTTTTTATAGTTCACTGTTTTGAATTATTAGTATGATTCTATAACTGCTATTGAAAAAGGAGTATTTGGCAAGTTTTCTCTGAATTTTTGTCCCAAATCCTTAACCCTTTCCACTCTATTTTTCTTCAATGCTGCGACTAATGTTCCAGTTCAACAGAGAAGTGGAAAGGGTTAAAACCCCTAACTGATTTCATGATACACTAGTACAAGAATGCCTACCAAATATCATCCAGATCACTCAACTCCTATTTGGTTGTGCTTTTTTGGCGAAGAGTAGAGTTAAATGAAGCTCGATTGCATATGTGAGTTGCACACAGGAAAGGCTCCCTACCCAACCTGCTACCACTGCATGGAAATTTTCCAGTTAAGTGTTTAAAGGAAAATGGTGTCAGGAAAATAAAACGAAAAATTGGGAAGAGAAGAGTAGATTGTATTTATTACTCTATCAATGATCTACCCCTGTGGTTGGAAATAAATTGTTACCGCAGCAGGAAGAGTGGATGTACAACTTCAAGAATTGGTGTATTCTTTATCAAGTGTTTTCATCTTGGAATCACTTAAGATTGTTTATTCATGCACTAGCAATATTTTGAAATTATCCTCAAGATATACTGATAGTTCCTCTTGTAAAACTTGCTTGAGTATAACCATTCCATATTGTTTCAATAGTCATGTTTCTGAGCATGGTACTAAAACCTATTAGCTGCCCCATTTATTCAGGGTGAGTTGCAAGTCATGCCCACCAAATGGTGTTTGTTGGGTTTGAGATGCAGTTCACACAGTTTCAAAGACAAGAAAGTTCTCTTATCTGAATATATGTTTTGTTTGTCATATCCTGTTTTCTGTTATCCTGTTAACATATCCTGTTAAATAGTTTTTTTTTTGTTTTTCTTTAATTTGTTTTCTTCTAAAACCATGATTGACTTCAAAAAAGTGATCGATCTGAGATCTTGTCATTTATTTAAAAAAAAAAACTGAAGAGATTATTCAAGTCACCTTTGCAAGAAAAGTATGAAGTATAGTTGTTGCTTGCACATGATGGATGATGTCATACCTATAAAATATTAGAAATATTTGGAAAGCTTTTAAGAAGTTATTGTCTTGCAGATGCAGATGGGGAAGAGACTGATGGTATTCCAGAAATAGAGCAAGGAGAGCAGATTGAGGGCAAGAAGGAAGAACTTAAAAGAAACGCTGATACAGAAAACTCCACTTCTGCAAGTCAGCTTGAATCTGAGGCAGTTCATCAAGGCCAGATGGCGTTTGATGAATCTTGTCCTACTCCCCATCCATCTGTTATGAGAGCTGACATGGTGAGATGTTTTATATATCTTACTTTTTTCTTTAAATTTTTTCAGCTCCTTAGGTGTATTTCATTGAATTCTCCTTTCAATTTGGAAGTACTCTACTGAATCAGTAACATCCAAAGATAGGATACTGATAAGCCTTATGAATATCAACATTTTAGAGCAAGCATGATGGTGAAGTGGGTCCGTTTGACTTGGAGCCACCCCTAGAACTCCAAAAGCCCCAGAAATCCTACCAAAGGAGGCGGTATTTTGAAGAAAAAGAAGGAAGTGAAGAAGGTGGTGCCCTCATTCTCATGGGAAGTGAAGAAAAGAAACTTCTGGATGGAACTCTTCTTGTCCCAGAGGAAGCAGAAACCAAAAAAAGGTTTGGGGTTTTCTTTTTATTCTTATTTTTCTGTGATGGTGTCCACAGGTTACTCAAGACATTTCAAACAGGTAGCACAAACCCTTTCTCCTTTCTTGCAGTAAAAAAAAAAACATGAGTGTAAGCAAAGCAAAATGTTGGTTTTCTCAACAATTTTGACACAAACTTTGACCATATTTGTTTCAGTTTCGGCAATTCTATTATTGTCATTCCAGTTTCCTTTTTGATTTCCTCCATCTTATAAGAAGTACTTCATTTGTCAAATTACAGTTTATATAGGTAAACCTGCAAGCTTGTGATGACCTGAAGCTCCTGTAGCTCTTTAACAACTTCTTTTTGTGAAGGATGTTCTCTCTCTCTCCCTCTCCCTCCCTCCCTCATAATCTTCTACAGTGGATCAGATCTGAGACGAGAGGACCCTACCCCTGCATCATCTTGCATCTCTAGCCCAACGCTCAGCTTGGAACCCACCAGCCCATTGCATCCACCATGGTTTGTTCTCACTTGTATTCTTCTTACCTTCTCTTGCAATCCTTAAGTTTCAATTATATGAAAATGGAATTGTATAATCACATTGACAGGGAAAAGGATGAGAAGAGCAGTAGAATCTGGAAGAAACGCATCCTCCTATTATGGGAAGAAATCTCTCGCCACAGAAGAGCTAATCTTTTCCTCAAGCCTATTTCATCTTCTGAAGCTCCAGGCTACTACAACATCGTCCACAAGTATATTTCATCTTCCTTATGCTTTGTTAGCTCTTTCAAGGTTTTAAATATATAATCATGTCTTCCAGAATCTCTTGGCTGGGGGAACATCAGATTTTATTATGTATAAGTTCTAATTGTATAAGCACATTAGAGAGAAAGCCATACTAATGTGAACTCACTCAAGGGGATTTTATATATGTATCCGAATATCTGGCATTATAGAGACATTTTCCCTCTTTGTTTTGTCCAGACCCATCGACCTGCACACGTTGAAGCGGAATGTAGAAGCTGGACTGATAAGATCAACTGAAGAATTTCATCGAGACCTCATGCTCATGTTTCAGAATGCTATGATGTTCAACAGCAGCTCTCACAGTGTTTATGAATTTTCTCAGGAAATGAAGAAGGACTCCATGAGAGTCATGGCTGTAAGTCTTCTATATATCTTTACAAATAAGCTCTTGAGAAGCATCTGTGACATTTTTGACTAGACTCAAAGACTAAAAATGAGGAAGCAACAAATATTGAGCAGATTGGTTAACTATATATCATTCTGAATTTTCAGCTTCCTGCATCAGACCAGTGTAGTATTGCCATCCAAAACCTTGACAAGATGGATGAAATTATACAAGTGACAAAAATTGCAACTTCTTCATTATTGCACAATCTTAAGTAAGGTGTGAAGAAAAAGATATTGAAAATGACTTTTCAATTATGTGTAATATGTATGTGTAGGTGCAATATTTAATCATTTAGTAAATTTTAAAAACAAAAAATTTTCCACCAACTTCACCCACCATGAAGTATGAAGGAGTTGGTCAGCACATCAGTCCTGGTGAACTTAATACTGTAAATCTCTGTAGACTCTTAAAAGATCCACATAGATTGAATTGATGCTTCTATCCCCACAGTGAGAAATGTTGACTTGAGGTAGGAAATTGAGCCATTTTTTGTCAGCTTTGACCTCATAAATGGCCATAAAGTGTGCCAGATAAAAAGTAGATTATTGTATATTTGGAAGGGTCTTTCTGTCCCCTTTTCAATGATGCTGATTTCATTATGTTTTTTGAAGCCCTAAAAAAAGTTTTTTTTATGTTCACCAGATGAAGTAGACAAGAAAGTCTTTAGCCTTGGTTGATCAAGAAAGGTAAACAATGTCCCCATATTTACAAGCCTTTTGCTCAAACACACCCCTGTATTTGGAAACCTACATGAAATGTTCATCTATCACCTCACTTTAAATAGCCATTTACAAAAATATTTGAACTTTGGAATAAGCCATATACAGGGGGTCAACTATGTAGTGATACCATTTCAAATGATCACTAAGTCTGCATTTCTGCAAATGAAAAGTGCAACACGTTCAAATACAAACTACGGTTTGGAGATCCACTGGTATACATTACTTTCTTGAAAGTCTCACTCTTTAAAAAAAATTGCACCTGGAAGACAACCTCCCTGGAGTGTCTCACATAAAATGGGTAACTCATCTTCTTCTATGCTGCCCTTTAGTGCCATTATAGTTGGTAGTTGGTTCCAGGACATTGTGGCCTCAATTAGATCCACAAGTAAAATTCTGGGTCAGACAGACCTAGTGATCTGGCTGGCCATGCAATGCACAGAACCAGGAAATGACATGATTGGGAACATTTTTGCAAAAATATGTCCATCATCTTCTTCCAAGAACATATTCTTCCAACAAGATGGAACAACTTGTCACACCACTAAAGAAACAATGTACAATCAAGTTTCATGTGAGACCCTCAGGAAAGTGATGGACATTGTCATTATTTGCTATCATGAGTGTGTATACCTTCAGGGAGGTTGTCTTCCAGGTGTAACTTTTTAAAGAGTGAGACTTTCAGGAAAGTAATGGACAATGTATGCCAATGAATCTCCAAACTGTAGTTTGTATTTGAATGTAGTGCACATGCATTTTCAGAATTGCAAATTTTGTGATCGTATTTTATGGTATCACTCCATAGTGGTCACCCTGTATAATCACACCTGAATGCAATGTTTAAATAAAAAAAGATTCTATGTTGGCCCATACAGTTATAACCTATATTGTCATGTATGTCATTGATACATAATACATATTCTTAATAATTTTACAATGTTATTTTATCATACTGTGGTATTCAATTCTCATGATAATCATACCAATCCCTTCTTCATTTTTTGCTGTTATCGCCTCTACATGAAAACTATGGAATATTGTCAATGTTCATACCATCACCACAGTATGGAAACCATGGGACACCACCTCTCATCATACTGCCACCATGGTGCCATACCTGAAGAGCCACTTCTAAAAATAAAATACATTTTAAACTATACTCCCTGTCTCCATCCACAGTGATGATCCACCCAGGGAAAATTGAAGCCCTCCTGGAAGTCACTGGAGTGTATTTAATCTAGGCTCAAGGACCAAGATCTGTAATTTGTTGGTTTGACTTGTGCCTTGACTGCCCCCTACTCTGTGTGCCTGAGCACTCAATATCTCCTCCATGTCTCCTGAGGATGTGGAATGTGATGAAATTGGAGACACTGACATCACTGTCAAACCCAAAGCAACCTCTTGTATTTGGAGGTATTTTGAAATGTATGAAACATGCAACCATGCATAATTCCAAATTGGTGTCTCCTAAAGTTTGGAGCTCAAAAAAAAATGGAGCTCAAAAAAAGAGCTCCATAATTTGAGTCCTCCCAGCAACTTTAATCATGGTAGTAATCCTTGGCATGCCTACAGAATCCATCCATTTGGGTTGAAACGAATGAATCCCCTTGTTGTTCAATTGAATGGTATAATTAAGACGCATGTAGGACCAGCTTGACGCCTTCACAATAGAAAGACTCCCTCTCCTCTTGGGGCTTTTTCTGGGAGTTTGTAACTGAAGCAGCCATGGTATACCTGCCGGGAAATTTAGTGCATACTGCAATGCCCTACCACTCAGCATGCACAGAAGGCCATTAACTTATAGTTGAAAAAGTTGAGATTCATCTTGAGACAAGTTACATGTGAAATCACTTGTGAGACTGATCAAGAGTCAAGATAGTTAGTGACATCAAGAGGCGATTTCGCCCATTTCGATATCATAGAGTCAAGATAGTTAGTGACATCAAGGGGCGATTTCGCCCATTTCGATATCACGTGTCGAGGTCGAGATGATGAATTGATATTGAACTGATGAATTGTTATTGAAGCAGTAATTATTATTATTATTACTAAGTGCTTGAGATTTCTGTAATCAATCACTCTTGTTTCAGAGATTTCTAGCTGAGCAGAATGAAGGCAGCCCCTTGAAGACACGGAGAGAAAAGAAGAGATGTACTAGTGATAGTGAGCCAGAACGAGAAAAGAAACGAGTGAAAGCATCTTGAAGATATTGCTTCACAACCAACAAAGCATGCCATTGCATCAAACCTTGTGGGTTTTTTTTGTTCATAATCTCCCTGTCAATGTTTCACATTGAAGTTCTCTTTTTCTCCTGTTCCAGCCACACTGAATCAGAGTAAAAGATGTGTTATTTTCCTTGTGTATTTTTTTCTTGCAGGAGCATATATCTTACTTACGTAAGTGAAGCTAGTGCTTACTGCCAGGTGGTTTGAAACCCTGCTTTCATAAAAAAAAAAAAAGGATTAACTGGTAAATAGGAGACCTCTCAGAAGTTCCTAGCATATTGGTGTTCTGTATTTCTTGTGTCTTCTTGAATTTTTTATCTCTAATTCATAACAGTATCCTTGGAAGATTCATGCTTGGACATGCCTCTGAAAATACCTTTAATTTTTATTCCAGTCTCCTGATATGGTCTCCTGTATTGCAGTCTCCTGTCACCTGAGGTGAACTGCCTCGCATTACAACTTGTCTCAATATAAGTAACTCATTTCTCCTAATGCTTATGTACCTTCTTTGTATCTCCAATGGCATTTCTTCATATGTTAGCAGGGAATATCTTAAACTCTGAATATAGCTCTACTGGCAATCCATTACTGTGAATGGGGAGGCAGTCTGTCAAGTGGATGGACATGCCAATCATGCCAGGGAGACTAAGACAGATTGAGGTTTTCCTCAGATGCCTTCATCCCTACTCAAATAGATTTCATAAATGAAATCTAAAGTTATATGTCATAAAAGGTTTGAAAGTGATAAAAAAAAAGGTTAAACAATTTTAAGAAGTGGATGCATAGTTTTGGTGCAAAAGGCACAGTAGCATTAGAAAAACAATTGAGAACCTTAACCAATTTCCTGGTGCAGACATAACATCAAGGCTTTCCTGATCATTGCTTGGCATAGTGTATAACGTTGAAATAAGCCATGCCAGGGAATGGGTAACTTGCCCATATTCAACCTTAGAGTTACATCAATGCCCAATTTTATGTCAATGACCTATTTCAATTTTATACACTACACCAGGCAATGATTGAGAAAGTCTTGACATTATGGCATGTGTGTACTGGGGAATGGGCTAATTTAATGGGATGGTTGTATTAGAGTGGTTTCAATTGATGCCTAGTTTCCTTGGTTCACATAACAACTGCTATGAATTAAAGCAAGATAGTACCATTGTAGCACCATTTTGTGTACAAGTAATTGCAGCTTCCAGACTCAATAAGTTCCATACCTTCATGTGGGATATGCTTTTTGTGCATTCAGATTTGAAGGTATTCCATCCAATAAACTCTGGAGCTTCTTTAGGTGGAATTCTAACAAACTCCCTTTTTGTAGGCTGCAGTCCATTCTTCTTTGAAAGACTTTGTGAAGCTCTAGGGAAGTATGGGCCATGCATGCAGACCTTGCATCAGAAGATCTCTGACTGCCTTCTCTGTGAGGTTGCAGAGGCTCACAGCAGAAAGGCCACACTTTTCATGATGATGCTGTATCAAAGGCCTCCTTGCCTCCTTTCTGTTTGCTACAAAGAGGAAGGCTTTTCTCATTGGGCTCAGAGGCACAGTGATTGAAAAATTATTCCAAACTTATAGGGCATTACTTATAGTGCATTTGTGGTTTAAATCTATAAACACATCTTGGCAGAGGGTAAAATTGCGCTCATAAAGGATCAAAAGGAGAGATCCCCATTTTTCCCCACTTGCCATATTCTTAGCCTCCTAATATACTGGGTGATTGCAAAGTATTGTAACCCATAAAAAGGAATTGTTACATATGAACAAGATGATGCTTGGGCACCAAATTTCAAAAGTATGTGGCTCTTATATACTAAAAGGTACTGAAAGTGATGGTCATAATGTTAGATTCCTATAATTGCACATCATTTGTAAGGTGCCCTGTGCTATTAATGCAAAAACTTTCTTGGTAATGGCTTGTAGTTTCAGCATATATTATACAGGGTGTAATGAAGCCTTAGCCTCCCCCTGTAGCAGAACTATGTGATGGTGATGCAAAACAGGCTTTGTTTGTGAATTAAGTTTCCAATTCTACATTTACAGGCAAAATTACAGTTTCATGTGTGCCCATCACTGGCCTAGATGATGGTGTGAAGTGAGATAGGTGGAATTGCAGCAAATTGCAGTAGAAATTAGTGTTAAACTTGAGAGTTTGAAGAACTGCGGCAATTTATGCCCAGAAACAATCACAGGCAAGCTGCTGCCCAGTAGGTCCATGGAGCACCAGATATTTAATATAATATTTCAACATCCAACCCATAGATATTGAGGTTGGGGATTCTCTGGCCATTTTGCATTGCTCAGGAAGTTGATATTGTGAGAAGCAGCTGAGTTCTGAGGGCTTTGAAATAATGAATCTGGTCATGAAGAGCCACTTGGTTATTTGTGCAAGACATTCTCAGGCTCCAGCAGAAAGGAGATACGTTCGTGCCAAATAGCATCCCAGAAGTCTTGATCAAGTGACACTTCATGACAAGACCCTTCACACCTATAGGCCATTATCTAGGCCCACGAAATACTGGGAGTTAATCCTTTTGCTGCTCATTTAATTCAAGGTGCGCTTCGACTGTAGTCGAACGTGGCAGCAAAAGGGTAAAGCCATAAATGTGGAATTGAGAACTTAATTAAAGAATAAAGTCTGTTTTGCTTCACCATCATGCAGTTCTGCTGCAGAGGGGGGAAGTGTCAGGAAATTAAAAATTCACATGAACTCAGAGTGGACTATATGGAGGTTGCACATTGATCTCCCCTTTCCATGACTCAACCATGTTGACATCGCTTCATTTGCAGTGGAGTCCTGTATTTTCATGAAGCAAAATTTGTCTGGATTTCAGAAGCTCTACGTGCTTTTCCATATTGTAGCCCACAGCTTTTTTGTTGAAGCACCCATGCATAATAGTTTTCAATGAATTGCGAAGTGCAGTCAGAAAGTCCGTTCCCCCTAGCCTATAGCAGCTGTATGCGTTACTATTAATATATCATGGTTAATCTATGGTTGTCTTTATATCACTGAGATAGAGAAGGTCTCTATCTAGTGCTTCATGCCTTTGTCGTTCACCCTCAGTAGTTTCGTTGCTGTGACGGTGATGAGACGATGTAGGTGATTTGTTTTTCAAGTGATTTTTCCAGACTGGGTTAAAATATGAACTTCACTATTAACGAGAAAATAGCTGTTGTGAAGTTTCTCGCGGCGCTGGGGACATTCACCGACAGCTAGACGTGCATGGGGAATCTGACTTCCGATAACAGCGTCCGCAAGTGAGTGAGGGAGTTCGCAATCGGAAGAGTATCCACATAAAAGGCGAGCTTCGCTCAGGAAGGCCCAGAACTAATAATTCTGACCACAAGATCCAATGTGTGTAAGATTCTGGTGATGTCAGACCGACGCATGTCTATCGATGCGCATTCTGGTCATTGATGGTCTACACACCAAAACGTTAGGAATCTTAAGGGTCAAGTTTCTCTACTAGCAATTTAAAAATTTGTGGAGACCTGACTTGAATTCACCTTATCTGGGTCCCTTTCTTGACGACACCACGCCCCCGACAATCCCAGGAAAGAGGTGAATCTCTTAATTCTTAGAGCGTCAGGAATACAGATGTCATTAGAGTAATGAATTGAATCTATAAAATATGAGAACACAGAGATATTTTTTATTATTTCTTAATCATGAAGGCTGTCGAATTTTATTCCGCCACTTTGAACCAGTATTGATATCAACTCGAAACTATGAACCCCCAGACAAACTTTGTTGATCCCATCTCTGGTGCCAATTCTCAGACTGTTGAATGCCTATGGTCAGTGTTAAAAATGAAGAATCTGGGAAATATGCATGGCTCCGACCAGAACATGCTTCCACGACATTTGAAGGAAAGTTAGTGGCACTCAATAAGCCAATGAACAGATATTTTCTTATGTTCATTTTGGGACATTCGTCGAGTGTTTGATCGGCAGGGTGGATTTGCATTATTATGCCTTGACAAGTTTGTCATGTTCCTTGTGTCACAATACTTTGAAGGGTTATGCCGATGTTTTGTGTGCAGACCACCAAGGATCAGGCAAAAAACTATAAGTATCGTGTATTTGGCCTTATATAGATCAACGACCAGAATGCCCATCGATGGTATTGCAAGTTTTGGACTCTACCTCGGAACTGTTGCAAAGTTTCTATCTGATGAGCTGAACATGAGCAAAGTAAGTGCCTGCTAAGTGCCCCACATGCTTTCCGAGGGCACAAGGCAAAGCCGTCTGGACACTTTCGTCATGGCGACACGAAATGCAGCGTCCCCAACGGATTTCATGGACCATGTGATCATTGAATGAGACTTGGATCTCTCGTTTCAATCCTGAGTTGTCTCAAGATTTTCCAAGAGACAGAACAATGGAAGCACGCCGATTCATTCACCCAATAATTTTCGACAAGTTGCTTCAAATGAAGATTCTATACGCCATTTCTGGGACAAACAAGGCTTGATTTTGAGTCATACTTTTTCCATATTTTACCGACATCTGTTCGAAACGGGGCTTTTGCCGGCTGTGGGCAAGTTGCGCCCGGAACTGGCCAATAGGAATTTCATATTGCACCGGGACAACGCACCGCCGCACACTGATCGTGTTGTGACAAATCTTGGCCGAATGGGGAATTGAACTCTTACTACATCCTCCCTATTCGCCAGATCTAGCTCCGAGTGACATCTGGCTGTTTGACAAGCTCAAGGATTCGAAGCGAGAACAGATATATCTTTCGAGATAAGTCCTGGGCTCTGCATTCTATCAGTAATTCAAACATATACCCAAATATGACTTTGCCAAGTGCTGTAAATACTGGTTAAAACGGTGGTAACTGAGTAGAGAGGGAAGGAGACTATGTTGAGAGGTGAGAGAAGTGACTTTGCAAAACTTTGTTTACTTTAGGAGTTACAGTATAATGGCACAGACTTTCTGACTACACTTCATACATCAGTACCTACACAGTCTTCCGCACTCCAAACTAGCATCACGGAATATATTACAGCAATAATGTAGGAATTTTTTTTAGTGGTATGAGTACATTCAGAACAGCATCACAATGCAATTGGTTGGTTTTGCAAGACTTCGTTCACATTTAATTATGTATTAAATGGGTTCTGCAACTTTGGAATCTCCTTGTACTACCTAGGGAAGTTCATTTCAGGACTATGAACTGTTTTAAATATATTTATTTTACGGCCCTGAATTAGACTTGCTTAGCTCATGCATTCAGAGACTATGCCCTAGCAACTCCCATCACCAACAATCAAACTTCTCTATACTGACCCTACTGTATCCATTCATCAAGTTCTGAATCTTTTAGCTGTACCATTCAGAAGTAGTTGTTCCCTATTAGACTGAACTTGGTCCAAATTCTTTATTCTTGTAGGCTTTCTTCTAAGAAGAGAACCAGAAGTAGCAATTTTGTTGCCAGTTGTAAAGAATATTCATTGAAAGGTGGAAAGTGACAAATACTCTGCTGAATCAGATGATGGCAATAATTATCAAGAAGGACTTCCAACTCCTTCTTGCAGCATTCATACTCCACATCATTTTTTTTTTCGCTGCCTTTGACATTCACTTCAAGTCTCCAATTCTACATGGGATGGCACCTGTGAGTATTGAAGGTGAGACTCCTCTTGCCCAAAGGTTGGTTCTCTTCATAGCCGATGGACTACGGGTTGATAAGTTTTATGAGTACATTGACAACACCCCTCACAGTTACTTAAGGTGGGTCAATGATGGTTTTCCTTCATTGTTGCATGTAGTGTTCCCCATGAAATTGAATGACAGGTGGTTTTTTTAGATACATAGTGAGGGAAAGAGGGAGATCAGGGGTCTCACATGGACGGGTACCTACAGAGACACGTCCAGGTCATGTTGCAGTCATGGCTGGATTCTATGAAGATCCTAGTGCCATCACCAAAGGATGGAAGGATAATCCAGTGGATTTTGATTCCATATTCAATGAGAGCCATCACACATGGTCATGGGGTAGCCCTGATGTTCTTCCCATGTTTTCAAGAGGTGAGAGACCCCACTCCCCCTCCCTCCACTTTGGAATTTATATTGACAAAATGCAAGACTCATTTGGGGAAGTAGGCTCTACAAGGTTACCCAAAAAATGTACACCATTTTTAAATGCTTTGCAATAGATAAATTGACAAAGCATTACATCAAAGAGATGAACATATTGAACTAATGGCTTCCCTTTAATCCTTTCAGTGACAAATATTTGTTCCATATTTCAGCTACTTAGCTTTACATATAATAAACTATGACTGGTGACATATGGCAATGGTAATTGTAAATTGTCCAACTTTTGAACAATACATATGAAAAATATATGCTTTGTATGGATCATTAGTAATTAGTAATGGAGCAAGGTATTTCCCAGTATCAGTGAAAGGGTTAAACCAGGATTTGTAAGGATGTCAAAGTCAGGTGAAGTGCTCAATTTTTTTCCACAGGATATTAATATGTGTAGTCTGTGAATTTTTTGCATAAATATTACACAAGGTGGTCATAGAGTCCCAATCTATTTTATTGAAAAACTCAAAATTCTTACAAAAATGCATAATGTGCACTTCACATTGTCAATAATGAACTAAATAAAACTGGTAATAGTAACTTAAAAATCAGTTATTAATTAATTTTTTTTTTTTTTTACTGAAGTTTCACATGATCACCTTCCAAATCGATACATAACTGCAATCGATGTGTTGTTTCCCCGAACATTCAGGATGTTCAGCATGTCAGGGGTTACACTGTTAACAGCACATAGATACGATCTCTTAAATCTTCAACATTGAGAACCTTTGAGCTGTAAACCTTTGACTTAATGTACCTCCATGCAACAAAGTCAAAGGGGGTTTGGTCAGGGGATCTTGAAGCCCAAATTTCATTTCGCGAACATTTTGTGAGATTATCTAATGAGAAGTTCCCGAACCATTGGATTGGCTGAGAATCAAAAAGAATGTTGGCTTCAGGATAACCTGGCATAATCCCCTTGGATTTTTTTGCAAGTGGTACATTAAGTCAAAGGTTTACAGCACAAAGGTTCTCAATGTTGAAGATTTAAGATCTATGCTGCTGTTAACACTGTAACCCCTGACATGCTGAACATCCTGAATGTTCAGGGAAACAACACATCGATTACAGTTATGTATCGATTTGGAAGGTGATCATGTGAAACTTCAGTACAAAAAAAAAAGAAGTTAATGACTGATTTTTAAGTTACTATTACCAGTTTTATTTAGTTCATTATTGACAATGTGATGTGCACATTATGCATTTTGTAAGAATTTTGAGTTTTTCAATAAAATAGATTGGGGCTTTATGACCACCCTGTGTTTGTAAAATGATGGAAAGCCAGAATGATGAAGGAAATTTTTTGCCAGAGGAGAGGAGCTTGTCAAGTCATATTCTAGACTCTGGAGAAAGTAATCATGAAAGCATATGGAAACTGAGTCAGCTGAAAGGAAATATTTTTTCCTGTTTTCAAGTCTATAGTTATTTTCAAGTTTTATGTATTTGAGAAATGCAAGATCCACCTTCACATTAAAAGACATTCTAGAAAAGAAAATGCTAGTAATTTGCTCCTTCAAAGAGAGGACATAAGACGGGATGCAGCCTCCATCTGCAAGTCATAAAAATAAATTTGTCCATTTTTGATAAAAACCCATCAAGTCATAGATTCATTGATTTCGAAAACCTAATGCTACCATAGTGCCCATGGTTTTTTCCCCCAAAAAAATTTGAAGAGAGGTGATTGGGTCCAAAACTACAGTGCATTGTGTCTATCACTGCAGGAGGTGCAGAACACAAGATGGACTTGAACACATACCCTAGTGAAATAGAGGATTTTGCCTCACAAGATCCTTCAGCTGTGGATGTCTGGGTCTTCAAAAGAGTCAAAGAATTCCTTTTAAATGGGACAATACCTTTTGATACACTCAACCAGTCAGGCAACATCTTCTTCTTACATCTCCTTGGAATGGATCTTGTTGGCCACTATAGAAAGCCTCATTCCAAGTATGTTTATTGCTTATTCTATGAATAGTAGGATTTTCAACCCTTTTATTTTCTAAGTTCTGGGTTCAGAAACTATTTATGCTTTTTGTTATTGTTTGTTGTTGGTGGCAGTGCATATAAAATATGTCTGGATGTTGTGGATCAAGGAGTGAGGGAGACAACACAATTGTTTGAAGAACTCTTCCCTGACCAAAGAACAGCTTTTTTATTTACAGCTGATCATGGGATGACAGATTGGGGTAAGTTCCCCTTTGCCTTAAGGAATATTTGCAGATGTTTTGCTTGTAATTATCAAAATAGTTACATCCCTTTGTTTCTAGTGAGTATACCATATGCATGAGTTTATTCAAGTCTGTAAACAGACTCTGAGGCATGCTGTAGCTCATTTTTATCTTTAGAAATGGTATCTCATACATCATTTCAATTTAGGCATGCTTAGTATCATGGCTGTTGAGAATTTGGAAGAATTTGGCTTGAAGATGTGGCATGATTAATGCTGTATGTGCTTGGGAAGGTTCTCATGGAGCAGGAGATCCTTCAGAGACAGAAACTCCCTTGGTTGTGTGGGGAAGTGGGATTCAGCCCCTTTCTGGGAGGTTTGATGTCTCTCAGGCTGACATCACTCCTCTTATGGCTGTCTTACTTGCTCTTCCACTTCCAATGAATTCAGTTGTCAGTCCCATTTCTCTTTTTTTGTCACTGTTGTTTGCTTTGTGGATGTGACCTTTCTTGCCTCATTTCAGGGAATGCTTCCCAAGGAGTACCTTGATGGAGCACCAGCTTCATATGTTGCCAAAGCCATGCTCACCAATGCTCGCCAGCTTGCTGCCCAATACTTGCAGTCTTATGAAATAAAGAAGAACACATGGTCTGCAAAACTGAGACCCTTCTCCTCCCTATCTCCATCATCTTTGTCCAATGAAATAGATGATATCATGGAAGACATCCAATCTGGAAGGCATGAGAATGCTGTGAGTTTCACTTGGCACCTACAAATCTTATGTTTCCTATTCTTTCATGTGGGTGTTACATTCCTGGACAGGTGAGGAAAGCTAAAGAGCTGGGATTATTATCTCGGGAGGCTCTCCTTCACTATCAACATGTAGACAGCCCCTTGTTACTTGTTAGCATCTCCTTAGCTTTCCTTGGATGGATGGCTTTCCTCATAGTGGAAATTCTCCTCAGCTTCACTTCTCTTCACCATTCTTTCACAAACTATGGATCAACTTCCTGTGGAATCTTCTTGTGGGCTCGGAGATTCTTGTTACTCCTCCTTGTCATCACAGTGCTCTCACTCATAGGTGAGTTCCCATCCTCTTTCTGCAGTTATTGTCTTAAATAAGGCTACCTTGATGTGAGCTTTTTGAATAGGAATGAAAGATGGCTCCATGCTGTCAGTCAGTTTCTGAACATTGTCTAAACATTTATTTATGGAGTAAGGGACCATAAAAATTAGTTGAAGACTGGAATGTCATATGTATATACAATAGTACTTATATATAGACAGCAGGAGTGCTGTGAAGCTGGAATTTATATAATCTTCTTCGATTGTCAATGAAATATTCTCATTACTTTTATGTGTATTTAGTGTTCTTGTTTCTAAGATAACATGCACGGGCCAAGTAGGAATATAGGGGTAATTGAAAAGAACAGGCTCATACCCACAAGCCCATTTGTGAAACTCTTATTAATTATTGTTTGTTTACATTTGGTACATAATTAAACCCATTGCTTCATACCAGCAGATGTCTGAAGGTTACCATGGTTGGTATTCCTTTTGACTTCAATTCATTTACTTCAAGTTTCCTGGCATCTGCAATCATATTACTTTCTCCAATTAAATTTTCTTGCAATTAATTTAAAGCTCAACATGTCAATTATAAAATATTAAAAAATAATTTGAAGACAAGTCATGCTAGTTGAAAATAAGGCTGAATAAAGGCCAACATAATCTTTTTTTTGTGCTATGCACAATATGGGTGTATGCACTGCAATACTTTAGTTCAGATTTTGTTTTAAATACAGCTTGTGTTTCTTTGAAACAGAAGTGAGATGCTGCATCAAATGATCTTCTCTTCCTGAAATTGGGCATGTATGCTCCCTGAAGGTTGAAAAATCTATACATGTATTTGGTTATATTCCTTGAGCTTAGCTTCTATTTTCATTGGGAAAGAGCCTACTTCTTAGTTGAATTTATCATAACTCAAATCAATTGCATGGTCCCATGAAGTTTGTGCTAATAAGTTTAATCTGTATTCACCCTGTGAATACAGGTGATATTTCAAATTGAATTCCATGTTAAATGATCAAGTGGCAGTGGCCAACTAGTCACAGATTCACCCAAAAAAAATAATATGCCTTGGTATTTGCAAAACACAAAAATTCGAAATTCCAATATTTTATGACTCTGGTGGCCTGAGATATGCCTCCTCAAACAATGACAGCCAATAGAATACTGTTACAAGCCAGTCTGGAGTTACAAGAATGACTGTTCTTGTAACTCCAGACAGGCTTGACATAGAGCATTGAATAATACCTTGTTTGAAAGAACTCCTGTAGTGCTAAACACTGGTGTATCTCAAATTCTTACAAAATTTAATTTTGAATACCCAAACTATGAACCTTGAGTGCATGATAAGTATATCATGCATTTGTGATTCATAGCATGGATAGGGAACGATTTTCTTCCTTCTATTTTCTTGGAAAGAAGGCCTTATGTTGGATTGAGTTTCCTCAGTTGTTGTCCTTCTTTCCAGTCGAAAAGCAACCATGGACACATATCTTGTACCATGTCTTGCCTCATGTTTTGTGGTATCATGTCCTGGGAAAAGGACATGTAATGATGCAAGCCCTGCATCCAATGTCCTCCTCTTCCATCTTCCACTTCCTCCTGAGGGCTCTCTTCTGTGTCATCGCAGTGCAACTCCTGGTATGTACTGGTATACAGGGTGACGCAAATTTTTTTTGGCCAGGTGAAAAATTTGACCAGATCTTGTCCTTGATAACTTCGATCGTCCAAGTTTTTTTTTCGTTTACTTTCAAGTTAGGTTCGGGAAAGGTTTCTACATACCAAAACTCAGGTACCGTGCCATGGAATGGCTGTCAGGGCCAATTGAAAAAAGCATACCCCCAAAAAAAAAGTAGTAAAATGATGGGAAAATTATTGTTCCACCTCAACTAACCTTTATTTATTCAAGAAATGTTCAATGTGTCCTTTCTGGTCCACCACTGCTTGCAGTCTCTCTCTCCACATCAAAATTGCCTTGGCAATCCAATCCTGGGGCAGCTCTTCCCAAGCAGCTGTGGTTCGTTCCTGCAGATGAGCCACGTCTCGAATTTTCACCCCATGGTACACTTTCTGCTCCAATACAGACCAAACGAAGTAATCGATGGGGTTGCGATCAGGGCTGTTAGGAGGCCAGTTTTCTTTCTCGATGAAATCAGGGCAGTTTTCCATCGAAAAGGTCACAGTTTCATTTGCAGCGTGAGCTGGGGCACCATCTTGCATAAACACGTAATTAGGGATTTTGTCCTTAATTTCCGGGAGCATCGGCGTCAGAACGTTCTCACAATAACTTTTGACATTGATTGATAATTTATAATAATTGATGATTTGAATGATATAAACCGATGTTTTCCCCACAGACGAAGCCCCAAGGGAAACCATGACCGATTCAGAGAAATGAGTCCTTTCTCGTAAAAGTATGCTGGGTTCAACTTGGTTTTTTTTTCTGAACTGCAGCGTGAACACGGTCATTCTGAGAATTTCGAGGGGTTTTGACCGTGAATCGTTTCTCATCTGAAAACCAATTTTTTTTCACACTTCTGATACTTCTGAATCGGTTTAAAAGTTTTTTTACACCGAGCCACTCGTTTTTGCCTGACAGCAGCAGACAACTCCTGAACTGGAACACGTTTGAACACTTTGAGCCTCAGGTCGTGTTTGATTATGCGCTGAACAGATCAACGAGAAATTCCTGTTTTTTTTTACACCTCTCGTTCACTTTTGCTGGAGCCAGGGTTTCCTTCCTGATTCAAGATCAGTTCACCACCTTTTTCAATGTTTTCATCAGTTCTCACTCATTTTGGACGACCACTGCCGGGACGACGCTTTTCACTTCCAGTTTCTCGGAGTTTTTTTAGAAAGTCAATGACTGTTGATTTTTTCCACTGCCGCTCAGGAAATTCACGGAGAATTTGATTCAAAGAATACTGCTTTTCCTCACGAAGCGCCTTAATGAGGATATTATCACTCTCACTCAAGCCCATCTTTCTCAACCTGTCGGGAGGGGAAAAAAAATTGTGAAAACAGATAACGAAAAATTAGCACCGTGAATGTTCCTCGGTGCAGGTTGCATACCTAACGCGACTTGTCAGCCTCGTTGTCTCACGCATGCTCATTGCAGGCATGCAATGCAGCAAGAAGGATGGAGTAAACAGATAACGAAAAATTAGCACCGTGAATGTTCCTCGGTGCAGGTTGCATGCCTAACGCGACTTGTCAGCCTCGTTGTCTCACGCATGCTCATTGCAGGCATGCAATGCAGCAACTTCCTACCTCCCCCCTTGGTCGTCACACCCTCGTTTGCCAAGTGACTTTCGGAAATAGTAGTGAGAGAATTGGACAGGATGAAAATCAGGTTAACAAAGTGGGTTGTTTACTCGTTTGAAACATTTTGAAACAGGGTAAGTGTAAGCTGTAAGTGAGTGTAAGCGTAAGCATATGTAAGGGTAAGCTTCAATTGTTCCTGTTCTAGACCAGTTTAAAAAGTGGACCTTTTTTTTTGCGCCACCCTGTATATCTGCCTCTCTCCTCAGTGATGGCATAGAACACATGATCCTGGACTCTCTTTTATCCTCAAGGTGGTGTGCTTCTTTCACCGTTGGGTCCTGTCTTTGCTGTTGGTAGCAGTTTCCTTTTGGCCATTCACGGAAAAATTCCTGTCCAGGAATTGGGTTCTTTCCTTGGGTTGGCTATTTTCTTGTATCTACCTTTCCATCTTCCCTCTCATGCCTGTGGTTGGGAAGGAACCCATGATACCTCTTGTGTGAGCCTTTCTCAGTTCCTTCCTACTTGTGTATACATTTCTGCGACAGCAGTACACGATTTCTCCTTCCTTAATCTCTCTCATTCACAGGGGCTTCAGTGGATGTGTGGCCATAATCATCTTCGCAAGTGCAGCTCGAATGTGGGTCCCTTCACTGGCGTCAACTTTCCTTGTTTCCCATATTCTGTTTTCCGAGCGTTAAAGAAGACTGGAGGAATGATGAACTTGTTGGTGGATATTCTTTATTTAGGACATCTGTGGCACGGTTGAATTCCCGGAAGGACTTCCTGCTGATTTTAGGCCAACTTGGATGCCTTGGATTGACAACCTGGTTGCTTTCGTCTACGAGAGCCAGCATCGATTCTGGCAATGGCTTATCCACCACCCATCAGCTTCTGGCTTGGATCATCTTTGGTCTGTCTTTATCTCATTACTTCATTTCCTCGTGGTATTTTTTTTTGAGGATTTCATGATCACGATTTTGTTGTGAATGGGGATTCGGTGGCAGGAGGAGGATTCGTATGGCCGGTGTTTGGGTCAGAGAGATTATTCTCACGTCTCCTTCTAGTCTATGGTGGACTCACAGCCTCCTTTCTTCTCCTGACCATTCGCCATGAACTTTTGTTCTGCCTTGGGCTAATTGTCACCATGCTGATATGGGTCGCATTGGAAATCCAGCTCCTTCCCACATCGTCTGCCCTCCGGGTACCTCCATCTATCAGATCCCTATTCCCCAAATAACAGCAGTACTGGTATGGATCTCGAAGGGAGAAAAATTAATGAAAGTATTCCTGGCAAATGTATAGGAGGGACTGATGGAGATTAAGCTGGAAAAGGACTTCTTCCCTCGAATGGTGGATTCACATGATCTCAGAAGAGCCTTTTTCCTTGTATCCTTTCCTATCCCAGCGTTTATCTCATGTTTCTTGTTCTGTTCATTTCACCAATATTCCAAGGCAGCGTTCTTAACTTCTAGAAGAAATTACAATCTGGTGAGGAGTTTAATATCAATCTGGCGAGGACTAAATGAATGCAAAATTCTATACGTTTTTGTGTGGATCCTTGACTGGAGTGCTTGCAGCTTCTATTTACTATGGCATCCTTCTTTGGGATAGGAAACATAGCGAGCGTGAACAGCTTCGACCCTATCGCTGTTCACTGTTTCCTCACCGTGTTCTCTCCTTTCACCATGATGAGTCTCCTATTGGTGAAGATCCTCATCCCATTTCTCATCGTCATGTCTGCTTTCCACGCCATCGTCATCATCTCTAGGGTGGGATATCCTGATATCCAAAATCAGCTGGGATGATTTGTTGGTCGTGCCACCTAGCCATACTGGAATCATGTAGCCTCCGTTTGTTATTTGAGAAAACTCTCAGGCATAACTATTTTACCGATCGCCTAACGATTTGAGATAAAATGGCTAGAAATGTGCTCGGTGTGCTATCCGTAATATGGAGAGAAACCAAGTACAAGGTGATCCGTAGTAAACCGTTATTTTTCTAGAGGCTGTATCTTTTTCATCCAGTGTGCACCACTGGATGCAAATTATATTTTACATGTTTGGAAAGCTGTTGACGCGATCTCTCGATTGAGCCTCTTTTTACTGAAAAATCTCTTATTTGGACGGTACATTTAACTGAGGTTCGATCTCTTTTTGGAAGTCTTCAAAACAGGATTTCAAATACGGGAATTAGATGCTCAGTCAATCCTCAATCCAGCTCAAACGCGTCCTTCCCTCGATCTCTCTGGGCACCGAAAGCTGATTGGAACCAGTTTTGTTACAATCGAAGACTTTCATCGCTTTTTCTATGTAATGTTTTTTGTTTTGATGACGTTTCATCCGCATTTCGACACCAACTTCGACAGTGGTTTCTGTTATCACTAGCTATTGCGAAAAGTCCTCGGTCCTACTTTCGATCAAAGGAAAGAGCCGTTTTCAGTGCATTTGAGGCACAAAACCCATTGAAACGCCCAACGAGATTGTCAGTCATGGAAAATTATTTGGATATATGCTGTACCGCAATACAAGCTCTGGGTAAAAATAAAAACAAAAATAAAAACCGAATTAAATGGTTGAGTCTGGTGCAATATATTTTTTCAGAGCTGAACATTTAAATGTCAAATTACAAGTTCAGTGGTCCTTGGGAATATGACATCAAAGACACGGATGTTTACCCAGCTTTTTCGCCAGACCTAAACCTCTGCGAAAACACCTTCAATCATTCTTGAATATCTTGAAAGATCGGCACAGCGCTGGTTTCCACTACGATCATAGCAAGCACATCAAACAACGAATCGAAGAAACGGTGAAAGTGTTCCATTTTGACAAAATTGGGTTCCATTCAGCTTTCGATGCCTTAAGAGCTCGAGGGGAGGACGTGTGTGAACTGGATTGAGAATTGATCGAGCATCTAATTCTCGTTTGAAAACCCGTTTTGAAAACTTTTAAAATGGAGATAGAACCTCAGTTAAATGTACATAACTGCGTTCAGATGAGAGATTTTTCAGCAAAAAATAGGCTCAATCGAAAGATCGCATCCAGGGCTTTCCAAACATGTAAAATTTGCATTGTTTGCTCCACTGGGCGCAAAGAGACAGTCTTTAGGAAAATAACGGTTTACTACGGACCACCTTGTACTTCAGTCTCAAGAACGAGTGATCTGAGAAAGAATCTCCTCCGGTCTCTCTTTTGCAGGCATGCGTCCTTGGGCTGTTCCTCGTCTATCTTGTCTATTCGGACATGCTGAGTCTCACGTTTTTCTTCCTGGTGACGCCACGAGGATCTTGGTTGGACATAGGGACTTCCATATCCCATTACGTGATTGCCATGGCATCTGTGATATTCCTTCAACTTCTACGTGCTCTTGCCGCCTTCCTCCTCACCTCTCGGACTCTCTCCCTTACTTCAGTTGCTACTTCCATAGCCAAATTTCATCGTGCATGAGAAAGTTTTCACTTCTCCCTCCTGCTACCTTCCTCCTGGCCTCCAAAGCCCTCTCCCCTCCTTCCACTTTCACACCCAGATCCCATCATACCCTCGCCTCGTCCCTTTCACTTGTGTACATCCGGTTGCACGCTGTCTATTGGCTCATGGAGGAGGCAAGAACTTGCCCAACTTCTTTTATTGAGAATTCTTTCCCAATACAAGGAAGCTGTTCAATGAAATGCATATCAATGCTGTGTTACCTATCTTGATGCTGTCCACTTCACATGTGATCCGTACTTCTTGTTTGAGGAAAGAATAAAGCGATGATATTGATGAAAACAAATGAGCAAACGGGCGTCTATGGCCGAATTATTTAAATACAACTACAGGAGACAACTAAAGGACATTTTATACCTCAAACAACTGCCCTTTCTGACTCTGAGAAAATGGCTAAAAAAGACTGCTTCACACAATGTATACTCCAAATAAAAATCCGTGTCAAGCATATTGCTGAAATCTCAGACATGCACCCGAGGCCTACGTGCAATGCAAGATACGATTTTTAGGCACTGAAATGAAGTCATAACTATAACAAGTGATGAAACTTAACGTCGATTTGTCGCCTCGGTTCATATTGTCTTGGTGAGAGGCGGCAAAAAGGGTGATAGCGTTGTACAGGGTGTATCAAAAGTCCGTTCTCATGGGTACTTTGAATTAATTAAATTTTTTCGATGAATGAATGCGCCAAAATTAGTACAGAGGTACTAAGAAATATTCAGAGAGAGTTACGCGCCAGAATTGATATGTGTATGCTAGTTCGTGGCATGCAATTTGAACATTTAAGGAAATAAAGGTAGATATGGAAATTGCCAGAGTCCGGACTTTTGATGCACCTTGTCCATCTCTGGACTTTTGCAGGACATTCTGCTTATAACTGAGCTGAGGAAAATAAAAATTTTGTCCTTCGCGTCTTGCTTACAATCGTTGGTATCAAGTAATACATCTTGTTCTCATCCTCCCGACCATAGTGAACTCTAAGCGAGCAACGTAGATGACATAGAAGGAAAAAATGGGTTGAACTGGGAATCAGAGTGGAATCGAAACATCGAATTTATCTCAAAAACAATTAGGGCACAGCAAGGTGACAGGAAATGATTCCAACCGGGGAATGTGTTTAACAAAGAATCTTCGGTTGGGATCGTTTCATGTCACCTTGAGTCAACGTGAAAAATAAACGTTTCGAGGGAGCAAGTCCTCCTCCTTCAGGATGATATATACGAGGGGGGTGCAAAAGTAGTGGCAATTCTGTTCTACGGTGGTGTACATATGTATTACGGCAACAAGACAAGTACAATGGCTCATGCGATAATAGAAAGGGCTTTAGTCTATGTAACTAAATTACTCACTATCGCACATGTCACTTTTCCACATAGTCCAAAATTGCCACTACTTGTGCCCCCCACCCTCGTAGATAAAACTATCTACTTTCCCATGATCAATAATGAACTCGTCTCCAAATCTTTCAGTTGGTAGAAATGTTGACATCAGCACTAGATAGTAATTAGGTAGTTCTTCGCGTTGCTCCTGTTTAGAGAGACATATGGAAAATCGAATTAGTTTATTCTGTCACATGAACGCTTTCGTGCTGCAAGACATGTTTATGTTATCAGCATTTAAAATGGCATGGTCTTAAGTTTTCCATAATATTTGTGACAAATCGTTATTTAATTATTTTCTCTATTAATTAAACTTGTAAATTCCCTCGTTAAACGCATTTAACATGCCCATATTTCTCCAACTTACCTTAACCCACACCCAACCACCAAATTTTTGTATTGGGTTGGAAAGAAAGTAATGTTTTTTTTTAGTCTCGAACAAACGTGTTAATTCATTTTAAAAATAAGTTGATGGGTCTTATTTTTATGTTTAATGAAAGGAGTGACCTTGTGTATTCACTTATTTTTTCTTTTCTGCAACAAGTTGTGCCTTCCTTTAAGCATAAATAATGAATGTAGATGAAATCCATATACGTCATTGCACGCTCTATGAGTTCAAAAAAGGTTCAAGAGCTAGGAAAACCATATGCACTGCATATGAAGAAGATGCCTTGAATATCCGGAAGTGTCAGAGGTGGTTTTCAAAGTTCCGATCCGGGAACTTTGATCTGTACGATTCGCCTCGTTCTGGTCGACCGATTGAGATCAATATTGAAGATCTGCGAGCTTTGGTGAAAGCGGATCCCAGGATTACAACTTGAAAAATTGCCCAAAGACTCAATACAACATATACGACTGTTCTCACCCCAATAAGCTTGGAAAAGTCTCAAAGCTTGGTGTTTGGGTTCCACATGAACTTACGGATAACAACTGCACGCAATGAATTTGTTCCTCTCTGAAGCAAGGTAAGCTCATGAGTCATTTCTGGAACGAATTGTGACTGGAGACGAGAAGTGGGTGCTGCATGTGAACATTCGATGCAAAAGACAGTGGTTAGATCCCGAGCAAACCCCATTACCCACCCCAAAAAGCAGCTTGCACCCACAAAAGGTTTTGCTTTGCATATGGTGGGATATTAAGGGCATAATTCATTTTGAACTGTTGTATCCAAATCAGACTGTCACTGCCGAATGATACTGTCAACAGTTAGAGCGTTTAAGTCAAGCTTTAATAGCAAAACGGCCTGTGGTGGTGAATTGAAAAGTCGTAATGCTACTGCATGATAACGTGCGACCCCATTTTGCAAGAATGACGCAGGAAAAACTTCTGACACTGCAATGGGAACTTTTGCCTCATCCACAATGCTCTCCAGACCTTGCTCCATCTGATTATCATTTATTCAGATCTCTTCATCGGTGTTGCTATGCCTCTTTCCGTCCAATAAGTGCTGAAGTCAAAACTGAATTAGAATTGTTTTTTTAATCAAAATCTGTCGAATTCTACAGTCGTGGCATCCAAAATTTGTTGAAAATATGAGAATGAGTGATAGAAAATGAGGGAAACTATATTCTTGAGTGATCATCAAGCCTTTGTTTTTTTTTCTATAAAAAAGTACATTGACAATAGTCAATGTACTTTTTGGCCAAAAAACGACATTACTTTCTTTCCAACCCAATATTTTCACAAATTATGGTTTCATCATCATTCATTGCACGTGTGTGTACACGAATCCAAGGACACACGGTTGTGCTTTGAAAATAATTTTGAGTATCCAGAGTTAAAGCGTCATCCTGAATCAGAAGAGTTTGTCCAGAGTAAAATGGGACTGATCATTTAACCCTCAAAGAGTACCAAAAGTCTCGCTTGTCATGTTTATTGCGTCTTCCTCCCCTTTCCGCTTTCAAAAAAACATGTATGAGACAAAAGAAAAGCAGGGCTTAGACAGGTTGTAAGTAATGGCTTTCATTAGTGGCTCATGGTGACAGGCCTTTCACGAGAATGGACGAACTAAGGTCCCTGTGGAAATAAAAGAAATCCCAAAACAGTCGCAATCGCGGCTGAAAGCCTTGAGAACGGTGACAATATGAACCACCAGTGCTCTCATTTGCATTGACTTCGTGAGAATCGTACTTCCGTGAGTGATGGAACCACATGAACCGGATGGAGCCACTTTGTGAAGTAAGAAAAACGCAAAGGAGGAAAATGTACAAAAACCACCTGAAAATAGGAAAATGAGGAGAGGGTTGCAAGAAAAGGATACGTACAATTACCCTTACAGCAATTTGGTTTCCATTTATCGCCATACACGGAGATACACATCTGGTGGACGCCATTACCCTTTGACCGGTTTTTAGTTTTCAGCGAGCTCAAGGGTCCAGAGCTCCTGGTCAAGGTTTCTTTTGACAGGCAGCGGTGATCGATTCGTCAGAGCTTCGTATACCTTTGACCAAGCATGGGATCCCCTTTCTCATTTACGAGCAGAATTTCATCCACTCTAGGATCCTCGTTTCGGTGCTCAGATTCCGAGTACCCAATAGTCATGTCAATCGAACAATTGTTGTTGGAATTATCGATCCCACGGATCCAGGTCGCTATTTATGAAAGTCACTCAGCAACTTTACCCTTCTACAAGGTGGGCCAAATATTTTAATACCATTTGTAACTTTTCTATTGATGTGCGCCTAAAAACAGCAAATAAAAAAAAATATTTTGTACCTCTATGTGAGTGTCTCTTTGGTGGTCAACCTTGGCTGTTTTAACATGAATCCTCTTCCACCTAGAAATGGCTTGAGGTTAAAAAAAATTGTGTGGCAGAAATGATCAAAGAATACGAATGACCTCCATACATGACCATAACAAATCGGATTACTGTATGCGATGTCTGCTGGAAGCAAGTGCCCATAAACGAAATCCAGCGACCTGAACCAGTGAAGGTTCCTGCCGAGAGAGAATTGAAATCATGTCCGTCCAGTACGATCGACTGACAGACTCAAAGATTCCAGGTTGCCATCAAGAAGAACGGGGACATATCGAACATATTTTGTGAATAGTTACTGCGAGCCCTTGTTTCTGGTTGCGATTCAATTGATTCCATGAGAAGTAATTAGAACAGGAAATACAAGACTTCGATTTGATGTGAATATTTATGGCCCACCCTGTGTGTTCTTGGGGTAGAGAAAATGCATGGGAGCTAAAACTCTTTGCTCTTCGACCTTCATGTGCATTCATCCTTGCTTTACTGCAGTCGCCTATACATCGGAAACCCAATAAACAACATACAGGTGCATCGCGAAACTTGTATTCATCTTGTGCGATAGTGAATGTAGACACATTTGTCCTTTTTCCATGCGATTAGAAACATGGGGCCATTTCATGCCAAGTGTCAAGTGTTCAGGGAGTTCGTCGCATCACGGACTGGGATTTAGCTGCATTTAAAAAAAAATCATCACCAACAGGGGTTATGTAGAACTAGTTCATCTGAAATTTCAGCCGAGGACAACTGGTCTCCGAGATGTCCTCTTAAAACTGGGAAACGGGGGAAAGGACAACGTGATCCCTCCAAAAATACTCAAGCTAAAATGGTGGTAAATTCCATATTTTAAAGTAATTTTGACACGATGCCCTAAGGGCAGACCAGGAGCAGAACAAAGTGGACAACGACTTAGTCAACGAAATTCTGATATCGGGACTTCGAACGTGCTGACACTCGACGGTAAGAATTTGGAACTCGGGGAAGAGGCTGATAAACGTCCACGTCGACCTAGCATCGACCAGGAGGGAAGGCAGGGGTTCCATCGCTCTAGATCACGGATGGTTCCTTTACTTAAGCGTAGTAGATCCAACTATATTTGCCCAGATGGGAGTGGGGGTCAATTCGTTATTTCAATCGTGCTTCGTTGTCTTCATCAACT